GGCAGGGACGATCAGAGTTTTTCCATGGTTGAAACCGGTGTAGTAGTCGCGCTTCTCCTTTTCGGCTCGGCGAAGGGCAGCGCCCACCTTGATGCAGGCTTGCGAGGTGGTCAGGGGTTGGGCTGTGCGCACAGTCACGTCAATGCCAGGTCGGGCAGAGCTGGGCCCAAGGCACCGCCGGGAAAGGGGTTGCGGCAGTGCAGGTCGATGCGGCAGCTCTGACCGTTGGCGTTGTAGCCAGACTTTTCCACCCAGACATGGGAGAGGGTGGCGTACCTGAGCAGGCGGCCCATCTCGTCGCGAAGGGCGTTGTGTCGCTTGATCGGAGATGGCTTGCAGCCTATGCGCGAGGCTTGTTCGTAAAACCCCCAAAGCTTGCATTTTTTTCTTACTTTATGAAACGTAGTGCCTTAATCACAATGTCATAACATCGAAACGGCAACACAAGCGCAGACCTTGACGAGAAGCCACAACCAACGAGCTACTTGAGAACCTTGTAGTCAGTCGCTGATGGCGTCGAGACGTTCAAGGCCCTGCATGAGTGACAAGGCCGCTGATTTGTGCAACTGTGTCGTGCCCCCGCCCGCCCTTACAACGAGCTTGTGAAAAGCATGACCGCTTCAACAGTGAATCGAAGTATTGGCAGATCAATTCGTCATGCCGGGAACATTTGGATATTATTTGGATGCCTGAGGCCCGGGTATCGATCCAGATATATGAAGAGCTGTGTTAGTTTCAAGTGAAGCTTCTTTTGATATCGCACGTGTAGCGACCACGCCAAGCTTCAATGGCAGGTTCGTTGATAAGGCGACAGAATGACAGGTCTATCATCTGAAGGTTTGAGCAGCCCTGGCAAGGGCAGCGGGGCCCCAGATTTCATGTCATTGGAGGAATAAGTCGAAACGAAAGTCGAGCACATCAAACTGCATGGCTGAATGCAAAACCACAAACAAACCTCCAGCAGAGCAGAAATGGCTCGTTCTGAAACTCCTTTGCTACCAAGTAAATCAAGTTGACGCATGTCTGAAGCACGGCAGCAAAGATGAGCTCTATTATGAGGTTTGCTTCATCGGTTCAAGAGCGCAAATCGGGGAGTGGTGTGCATATAGATGGGACCTACCCCGGTTTGATTGCGTTAGCACATTGATAAGATTGTCGCCAGGCGTGCGAACAGCTGTCAGTATTAACTTCTGTAGGTTTGACTGACGGGCAAGTGCTTGAACAAATGCAGCTGCGCCAACACAGGTGTAAGTTCATGCATGCCACGTGCCACGTTCAGCAAGCATGTTTGTACATACCATTGTCTGCATCTAAATTGCGGCACCAACCAAGGTCAAGGTCCACTAGAGATTGACAGCGCTCCAAAAGTTTCGTTGCCGATGATGTGGTCAAAGCCCGAGCCCGCCACAGATCAATTGATTCAAGAGTCCTAAGAGGTGCAAGAGTAGAGTTTGCGTTAAACTGAAAAAAGGTTTTATGCATTGCCAACCTGATATGACTCAATATTATTCCTTACTTGCAGTTTATATGTTGTACAATGACGTTGGGATCGATGTGGGTGAGCACATGACCAAGGTTTAGATGCTTGATGCAGCGACATTCATCTAGAATAAGCACCAGGTCATCCTCGCTTGGAGTAGTTCCGAATAGGTTGAGGCGCTCCAAGGCTCGCAAACGAGCTAGCGGCTGAAAGTCACCCGGCTCAAGCGCACGGCAGAGTTGTAGATCCACCTCGGTTAAAAACGGGCAGAAGCTGGGTATGAGTGCGGAGACATGCTGCGTGAGTTGTGGATCCAGGTGACGCGATGTTCCAAGCTGGGCACAATGGTCGTGTACGGCAAAATGAAACAAGGTGTTGCTTGAGTTTCCATACCGAACAGCAGCCGCCAGAAAGGCCTTGTCAACAAAAGGGCAGGCAGCCACACGCAACGTCGTCAATGACGAACCAACGCTTGCAAATAGATCCTGTTGAGGAAAGTTACAATGAGCATGCTCATCATCGAGGTAGCCATGGAGAATGGCAATCAATCCAGAATCATTGATGCGCAGCGGTGCCTCATCACTTGCCACGGGGTTGCTGCACTGCAACTGATTCCAAGCCAGGCTGAGATGTGTAATAGATGAAGCCCGCAGTACTAAAAATTGAAAAGCAAATCGAAATCAAAAATTTGATCAAGCATTTAGTGTGCTCACGCAGGCCTCATGGTGGAGGTGTGGCAACGGACAATATAATTACCCAATTCTCGTAGTAGAGGCCAGGTGAGGCCGTCCCAAGCATACTGTAAATCCAGTCTTTGAAACGAGCCAACGTGCTGTGCAAGACAAATGGGGTTGATCAAAGGAGCAATGGACCAAGTGAAAAAACAGAAAAAAAACAAACAAAACAAAAAACCAAAAAACCAAAAAACAACATCAGACATGCAGATAAAGGGTTTTCACCCATCTTGAATCGACAAACCATTTCAGTGAGTCTCCAAAAGCGAGTATTCGTCACCGCAACAGCGAGAATGTCTGCTAAATGTAAGTAGCGGTAGATCTAAGTATGTACAGAAGACTTGCTTTGTAAGCAAAAGGCGCAGAAAGGGACAGCAGACCTGCAACGTGTTAAAGGAGGACGACCAACACCCATGTGCCTTGAATGCGCACCCGCAAAATCACTTCATCGGGCAGCGTGGTTAAATCGGGGGCTTGCTCTGATGATGACGGTGGCCGAGGTGATGACACCCCAACTTGCGTCTCAAGTGAGGTCCTAGTAGTTTCGGAGAGTTCAACCTGCTGGGGGTTGACCTTCAGACCTCCGGTCTGGGGCTTGACTTGCGAAGGGTGGTTCTGCATGTGACGAGGCTACCAGTGCGATAGATCATGAGGAAATTAGTGCTTCAATGGTGCAAATCCCATCGATATATGTTGAAGCGCATGTCAGGGCCTGGACAGCAGTCACGAACCCTTTTACGAACACAACGGCCTTTGATGGCTACGGCATCCAGCTCAGTATAGTACTCTAAGCTTCGGCCATCAAATTCGAGTCGGAACAGATTGAAGGGCTTGTGAATCTGACGCAGAGTTGGCTTGAATTTTCGCGCAACATGAGGTAACTTTTCAGCTTCGGGAGCACCCTAAGGCGCCAACAATTGTGCACAAATGAGTAGCCAGACCGACGCTTAGTTTGTACAAATATGAGACAGCTTACCTTCCAGAGTTCATGCCAGCGCAGAGGCGGTTCCGAAGAATCAGTTGCAAGGATGCGCACAATGGAGCCCGGGCTATACGTCTCAAAGATTGACATCTTGGAAACAAACAAGGGTTCGGCAATGCTGCAGCACGATTTTGAAGCGCAAAAATCCAATCGGATCGACATGCATGGTCGCGAGGCTAATTGAGTGAACGACGCCAAATGGGGTTATGCAGGGGTGGACCAAAAGAAATGGGCTTACGTGAACTCAACAAAATCAGTGGGGCATGTTTGCCCGTTTCGCGCACAAAGCTCATGCATGCGCGGGTTGATGGGTGGGGCGGAGCCATGGGCATTGATCCACCACGAGCCGTAGGTTCGAAGGACCTGGTCCATAGCAAGCCAGTGTTTCGTCATTGTGGTGTAGGTGCACATTGAAGTCAAGTCACCAGCGGGCTTACCATGGCACGAGAAAAGTCACCATAGTGGGGAAATATGATGGGCGTACCCACTAGGTTTGAGGCACAGTACGTCATAGTACCTAGACAGAGAGCCGGTGAGCAGTGTACACTGACATTGGGAGGTTAGTGACTCCTGGAGGATGGACTACCACTTACCATACTCGGATGAGTAATTACTGACGGTTTCTGCGAACAAGGCCTTTTCTTCTCCGGGAACGCTTTCAAGCTGGGCCAGCTACCAATGTCGTTCCAGTTTCAAGGGAAATTACATCACAATGCACACGGCACAGCCACGGACGGGGTCTATGATCAGACTTCGCAACGAGCGTCGGACGATCAACCAAGTGGTATAAGATGATCAAACCTGAATTCGCGATGCATCTCCAAATTGACGTAATTCCTCAAGCAAGTTCTGAAACCGTACGAGGGGATATTTGTGTCAAAAGAGTGAAGGGTGAGAAGAGTCACGATGAATGTTGAAAAAAAAAAAAAAAAGAAAAAAAAAGAAAAAGAAAAAAAGGTGAGTGCAAGAGTGAGGTGTGGTCAGGAAGATGACGATACCTTTGCCTGGCCAACGACGTTATTTAGTCGATCATGCATCTGTGGCACAGAGGAAGGAGGTTGGCAAAGTGAGTCTTTGAAAAAGAACAAGGTCAGTGTGTGAGTATGTGCGTGTGCGATGCGTAGAGATGGGGAAGCTCGGGTGCACTGGTATACGCTGACTTGGAGGTGGGCACTTTGTGCCGCTTGACGAGCGTGCGACAGAGTGTCTTGCAGTTGAGCGGCGGCGCGAGGCATTGTGTCGAGGCCACGTTTAAGGAAGGAGGTTGGGAGTAGCGGTGGAAGTTCGTCATAGATGAATGTATTGCTATCCTGATCGGGTGTGAAGCGTGCATTTGCGGAGCTTGTTGTGGAAAGGCGGGCACGGCGGGAAACTGAGCCTGAGGCATGTTGAGCATCATCGACTTGATCATGGTGCATTGGCGTGGCCATTGGCGTCATAAAAGGCGTGGCCGTTGCGCTCAAAGCTTGCGTGAGCTGAAGAAATTGCTCATAAACGCGCTCACCATCACGCCGAAGAGGTGATTCGGGTGGGACAAGCTAGAGAGGGCGGAAAAAGGGCGGCAGTGCCGCTGTGTGAATCATTCGCTGGTCAAGTTATCGAAAGCAAAGTTTCGAGGTAGTAAATAAAAACAACCATTCGACGCTGAGGAAATACACACAAACCTCCTGGGCGGCAGACGCCAACTCAGCCATGTTCTCGGCAAGGGTGGCCAGGCGTGCCATGATATCTGGAGGAAGGTCATCGTAGATGAAGCTTGGGGTTTCAGAATTTGAGTGTGTTGTTGCGGCGGTGGTTGCGTGAGCCCGATTCGGGAATGCTTCCAGGTCATCTGGACCTGGCAAGCCGTTGTCTGAAGGGGTGGCAAGTACAAGATGCTACAAACAGCAGAACATGAGGGCCAGCACATCAAACCAAATGGGCAGGCCGAGCGACGGCTGGAAAGAGAGAGAGAGAGAGAGAGAGAGAGAGAGAGAGAGAGAGAGAGAGAGAGAGAGAGAGAGAGAGAGAGAGAGAGAGAGAGAGAGAGAGAGAGAGAGAGAGAGAGAGAGAGAGAGAGAGCGAGAGAGCGAGAGAGAGGGCCGATGGGTAAATGGAATTACATTCTTGAGACGTGTGCCAAGTTGAGAGGCAATTTGGAACAAGGTGGGAATGGCAACTGAGGCAGCGTGTGCATCTTGATTTTGCATGGCAGTCTATCCAGGGAAGAGAGACAGCACGCGTTTGAGCAGGGCAAAGAGGTGATTGTGTTAGCTGACCATGACTACTGATGTAGCAAACCATCCGACAGTCATTAGGGCGGGGCTAGACACACGGGTTCGGGAGTGGATGCTGTTGTGGCCGTTTGCAAGCTAGAGACCACGGTTTCAACGCCTAGAATCACCGGAGACGCAGAGAGTTAGGGCAGCCCAAGAATAAGGGACGCGCAAGGGCCATGCTCAATGCGCGTGAGAAGAATGAGCATGAAAAGAGTGATTCAGAGCATGTGCGCCTACCCGGCACAAGCTCTTCAAGCTGGCGAAATAGCCATTGGAGAGCTGGGGAGAGGACGGGAGGCAACTGGTCAAGATGCAGTGGGGGCACAAGGTGAGCGGCATCGAGTGAGGGTGTGGTGGACCAGTACTGAATGGCATACTGAGCTTGCGTTTTTTTGCAAGGGCGCGTACCGAGTCATAGAGAAAAGTCTGACTCTGAGAATTCGCGGGGCCTGATTCGTGGGCGGGGGAGAGACGATCCTGCATGGCACCATCTGCAGCAACACCCCTTTCGGCTGCGCGAGTGGACGCCCGAGCAGCAGCTGGCTGCTGGATCGGCTGAGCCATGTCGTGACGACCAGCGAGAGCGTCAAAAAGATTATGGCTTTGGGCAGCGGGGCAACAGATCCATTCCGCGGTGGCGAGTATGTGCGCGCGTATGTGCGCGCGTTTTTGAAGGGGATTGTCGAAGGGAAAGGGGCGCGACTGCTGGGTCAGTCAAAGCTGCGCGAGCTTGTCGCAACCATCAGCGGCAATAGCGCCTGCAAGCACACGACGATAACGTGAGAGGGCCGGACCACTCAGGTTTGACAACGAGGACCAGTGCATTGACCACCCGAAGCAGCCTCAAAGTCCTCGTATTGGTTATCCAGACCCGTCTGCCCACCCCCAATGCGGTCCCGGTCGGAAACACACCAGCGCCGTTCCCCGTCACGCCCAGCTCACCTGGGCTGTTGGCGCCTGCTCTGCTGCTGAGGAAAAGATTAAAGTTCGAGAGGTGGAGTTGGTATTGTGCAGTTGGAGTTGTTGCTTGCTTTTCTTGTTTCTTACGAACACGATGACAATATTTTCTGTCTGACAAAAACACGAAGAAAAGAGAAGTACAACCCGGGATACATGTGCGGCAGCTGGCACAATTGGACAACCATGTTCTATAAATAAGTTTTGATTACATGTGCAGCTTTTATCGAGGTCGAAACGTATACGGCTAAGCAAGAACGCCCCAAGTTTTGTTAGCTTGGGTGGCATAGCGTCACAGTGGGTACTGTTGCTTGTGTGTGTGCTTGGTATGAGTGCCTATTGCTCCTTCTGCTTGCAAAGCGCCAGTCAGTGTGTGTGTGTGATCATCATGCCTGACGTTGGCTTCCCAAGTTGCATTTTCCCCTTTTTTTTTCGCTTTTGTCTTTGTCCCTCCCTTTTCTTCCTGCTCTCAATTTGTTCACCCTTCCCCTTCTCTCTCTCGCTCTCACACTCGGTCAGTGAGTGGTATTTTGTTACATCAGCTGGCCGCGTTGTCATCATCAACTCCAGCTTCCTCAAGCGCGCGGGCTCTCTCTCTTGTGTGCGCTGCCACTTGGTGAACACCCCTCTCTTCCTTTTTTTTTTTTTCCTTGTCGACGTTCACGACACCATGAGCAAGTCCACGGCTTTCAAGGCTCAACACGCCTTTGGTATGTTGTTGTCGCCCATCCCGGTTCCTTGACGGTTTTTTTTTTTTTTTTTTGTTTAAACGGATCACGCACACGTCAACAAAAGCAAACTGGGGAAGAGGGGAGGGGTGCGCGCAGTCTCGGCCCGTCAGCACCCCCGCCTGGCACGCACATCACATTGGCAGTCTCCAAGATGCCCTTTTGTTGAGACAACACCCTGATCTCGCGTGCCCGTCCCTGTCGTGTTGATTGACGTTGTCGCTGTTGCCACGTCAAACTCACCCCTGCTTTCGTTGTCTGCTTTCGTTGCCCTGCTTGTGTTCTTTTGCGGCCGCAGAGACGCGTCTGCGCGAGTCGGAAAAGATTTTGCAAAAGTATCCCGACAAGGTCCCGGTCATCATTGAGCCCGCCAAACGTTGCACTTTGTCGGAGATTGACAAGAAGAAGTACCTCGTCCCCGAGGACCTGACTGTGGCTCAGTTTCAGTTTGTCATTCGCAAGCGCATGAACATCAAGCCCGACAAGGCCGTCTACATTGCCGCCGAGGTGACCGAGGGCCTCACTGTCAAGCATGAAATGCTCATGACCACGTTAGTTTGAACGCGCGCCTGCTTTTCTTGCTCTCTATCCTTTTGTGCTGTTGCCGCAGCTCTTTCGTTTTGCTTTGTTCTGTTTTTGCACCCCCTTGAGCCACTCCTCATCACGGTCTACTGCGCAGACAAGCCATGTCAGTCATTTACGAGCACTACAAGGATGAGGATGGCTTCCTCTACCTCAAGTACTCGGGTGACAATGCATTTGGCGCTGTGCTTTCAGCCTGCTAAGCTGCACCTGCCGCTTCTCGTCTTCCACATGTCCATGCTTTTTCTCCTTGTCAGATCATCTTGGCTGCGCCGGTCTCCCGCCCTAGTCGTCTCCTCTGAGCGACTTTGAAGCTCTCCCCGGGCCACGCCCGCGTCCTTGGCATCAATCGTGTATATCCCTGTCTGCATCGCCCTGTTGTGCTCTCCTGGACCAACAAGGCCTTGCGCTCTGTTTGTAACAGTGTACCTGTTTGTGATGAGGGTGCAGGGAGCCAACGGCTGCCGTGCTTGTTTTGTTTCTAGTTTTCCACCCGTCTGACCCGTTCTGTCATTATGCACCAATCCTGGCGTCTTATTCTTTGTGCTTGTCTACCGTTGACTTGGTGCTTCGCTGGTGTGCTTTCGCTGCTGTTGTGTGTTGCAGCTTCTGTCTGCCCGCCTTTCCGTGCATGACTGTTCCAGGGAATAACGCCGCCCTTCGTGCAGCTCTGCATTGTATGGCTGTCAATTGACATTTTGGCCATCATGAAATCTCTCGTAGACACGCCACAGTCACAGTCTTTCGCTCTTTTCTGCTTGACCCACTTTTTGATTGCGACCCTCTGCAAATAACTCACTCAAGCTTCCAAGCTCACATCAAGTATCAAAGTCAATTAGCAGCTTGGCCTGGGACAAGGCTTGCAACAAGAAAACGGTGCGCAGCCATTCCCATGAAGCACAAGGAAGGTGCTTGCGTCGTCACTGTTGCAAACCGTGAGTCTCTTTAACTTGCTTCACATCACACAAACCAAAAGGCACACAAACTGCATTCACTATTATGAACAAGGAATGTTTGGGAGACAGCGACTGGGTTGTCGTTGAGCCCGGTTAGATTAGATGGGCGAGGGCGCGGCGTTGTTGTCAATGTCGATGTACGCGCTGCCGTTCAGGACGGGATAATATCCGTTCCAGTCCGTCAGAAGAGCATTGTTCTTGACGACGAGTGTGGACGGGGGCAAGATGGCGCGCACACCGACCAGATCGACCAGGCCCGTGTTGTCAAACCTGATGTCATAGGTGTATGAAATGTTAAACTGGAGCAAATTGTCAAAGGCATCAGTGTTTGTCAACCAGAGTTGATCGTAGACAAAGGGGGGCACCATGGGGCCGAGCAGACCCAAAAAGTTGGGCGCATCCGTCACTTTGAATGCGGATACAACGGCCTCCTGTAGCATCTGGTCGTAGCTCGAGTAGGCCTGGAACAAGTTGGGCATTTCGAGATGTACGAGATGCGTGGCGTTTACAATCTCAATGTTGAGCAAGGCGTTGAGATTGGGGAAGTTGAGCAGCGAATAATCCACGTTGCGCAGGATCAAGGAGTGAATGGCTTGAATCGGATGCAAAAAGTTGTTCAGTTCCGTCTCATCAAAGGCCTGGGGGCCATCAATCTCCAGCGTACCCAACACGCGCAGACTCGAAAAGGTCGACAGCAGTGAGAAGTCAGCCTCACAGCCCTCGGCAAAATGCAGGCGGGCAGTGCCGACAAAGCTCTGGATGTGCGGTGCGAGCTGTACCAACGTTGCATGGTCTGCGGGGGAGCTGCACACGAGGTCCAGCTGGTACTCGTTGCAAAGAGGTTGGCCAAAGTCAGTGCCACTGCAGTTGCACGCTTGGATGCTGGCCGGTTGCGGGAAGGTGTTTCGGATCAGCTGTTCTTGGGTCAGAAGGCGGTCAAGGTTGTAGTCTGGCGTGCGCTGCAGTTCACTGCCCGTCCAACAGATGTCGCCCAAAGTCACGGTGGCCTGCCCAGCGAAGAACTGGGCATCAATTGCCATGTCACTCAGCGCATGGCAGTTGGCAATATCCAGCTGCGCAATTGTTGAGGGATGCGCATACATGCCGCCCAAAAACGGGAGATCGTTGAGGACCAACGAAGAGCTGACGGTTGACAGGCTTGGCATGGCAGAGAAGAAGGTCAAGTCCGGCAGATCGATCAGCTGCAATTGCGCCAATTCACTGACATCACTGAGGCCCGTAATCTCCATCAGACCGGGCAAGTGCTCGAGGATAAGCGAGCTCATGGACTGGACGCCATGAGAGGGGGCCATAAAGCTCATCAAAGTTGTATTGCTGAGGTAAATGGTATGCAGCGAGTTGGCGGCATTGAGATTGAGGTCAAGCGGCTGCAGCGCGTTGAGAACGGCAACCCGCTGGAGCGAGTCGAGAGTCATGGTGCTCAGGCCCGTAAAGGCGGTGCCGTCCAGCCAAAGCGATCCGGTGATGGACCATCCCGCAAACTCATGGGGCACATTCCAGCTGAGGTCCATCTGGCTTGCGCATTCAGGGAAGGCCGAGCAGTCCATGGTCAAGTTGACGATTGAGCGGGGCATCTCCCCAAGGGCCGCACGCAGCTCTGGGGTAGCCAAGTGTGGGGGCACACTGAGCGCACCAATCTTGGGCATGCCAGCCATGGCGATGATGGCGTTGTCCACGTCGGTGAGCGTGGTAAGCACGCCCCCAACCCAGGTGTCGCAGAGTTGACCCGAATAGTCTGGCTCGCAGTTGCAAAAGGGCTCAGGCAAGTATTCGGACGCACCGCGCATGCAGTTGAGCTCGTTGGAAGCTTGATTGCGAAGCTCAGCCTCCGCCGCAAGCGCACGCTGGGTTTCGTCTTCAATGGCTGCCTCTAGGCTCATATCGGCTTGCTCGAGGGCGCTGTCCTTGGCCATCAGGTTCTGAATAGAGGTTACGTTGGCGATGTTGGCGAGTTGTGCAGTCACCTCCTGCGCAATTAGCTCAGACAACAAGTCGGCCAAAGCATCGGCGGTTGCTTCACGGCGATGCACTGCAAGTCATCACAGCGAGGGAAGAGCAGTAATTAGTCAGGGTTGCCATGAGCACAATCGATCATCAGGAAGTAGGGCGACCGATTGCATCTTGGCTCTTTGGCTCCAGGAATGGTCGGGGCGAGCAGTTGAAGCAGTTGAAGCTGATGGCGCTTACCTGTCGACAAGGGAGCCGCAAACGCGCTCGTGCTAATGAGCGCAACGGCCAGCATGATGGCAAGCATGTTGTTGGCCACCATGTTTCCGGGGCGCGCTGGCGACGCAGCCAGAGAATAGATCCCCCACAAGAACAGGCAGAGGCAGAGGATGGGTGATGGATGCAGTAGTGCTTGGACTTGGTGACAGTCCAGGTGGCAAGGGGGCAAGTTGAAGGGAGAGGCTCGGATGGAAAATGCAGAAAAATTTAGAGCGCGAGCGACATAGCGCCAATCTCATGTTTGATCCATCCATCTGCTTGCACGCGGGGAGTCCTCGACGAGGGTGCGGTGCCTTCCTTCGCGCCCTCTGTCCTTTCCGCCTCGCGCACTTCATCATCGGACATACCGCAACCCCCACTTGGATGACTTGGACCGGCCATGCACGCTCTGTGCTGTCTGAGTGCGAGTGGCGTGAGGCCTGCATGCTTGTGTCCGCGCAGCAGTGATCCAAGCAGCACACTGATCATCCGAGCAGTAGCTGGCGAGAGGTGAAGAGCAGCCCGCACCCCACATACCAATCAATCTGTCACATATCTTATGCCCAGGAATTGATCCGAGGTGGTGCCAGCCCTAAACGCTTATGCCTTATTGGTATGTTCTCAGCCCTGGCTGGCGGACAAAACCTCGACATCGAGTGTCCGCTCAATTGTTTGAGTGTTGTGGCAGAATGGGGCCAGGGAGAGCATCAGCTCCATGTCGGGTTGAGCTCCGCACCACAATTCCGGCCTCCTCTTGGCGAACCAAGTTGAACGATTCTGCCTCGACACTTCATTCCCATGCCTCAGAGTCAAGTCAAAGATAAAGACAGAGCAGGACACCAGAGCCAGCGTCAAAAGCTCAAGGCAGGAAGACGGAGCAAGTCTGCATAGCAGCGCTTGGCAGTCATTCTGGTCTGGCCTGACCCACCCGATGTCGCGTCATCAGAAAAGAGACACGAGATTACCGCGAGATGACCTCTCGCCCGCCTTTTTTGTGTCTTGGTTTTGCACCAACTTGCATGTGGAAATGGCGCAAGCCCGTCGTCATCACCCACAATACCAACATCACGAAGGGTCAACCGACGACGTTCCTCCCACCACTCGCACACCATGCTCGTGCACACTGAAGGAAGAGGAATGGATGGAGAAGCCAACGGGTTTAAGCAGGGCCCTGTTGCTAATTGCCAATTCAAAGCAAGCTTAAATTTCAATAAACACACAAATGTTGTGGTGAAGTGCACTAGTGCTAATGATGCGATGGCGCATGAGAATAAGGATGATTAAGCTGATGCCAAGAGCGCCGACCACAGAGAGAACGGCCAAGACCCGGCCAAGACCCGGCCAAAGCAGACAGCACAATGACCCAGCTGACTGGCTAAACAAATTCTGTGCCCAAGTCAGCACTGGTGATCGATATGGACGACCCCGTGCGATAACGCAGGCCTCCCGAGGAATGCCGGGCCAACCCTTCCGAGGTGTCAGCATCGGGTGCTGGTGGAGGAGTGCTCATGAAGCCATAGTCACCGCTCTCGTCCAGGTCTTCAAAATGAGGCGGCAAGGGAGGTGGGACAGGGGGCGGAGGGGGCAGCTCGCCCGTAGACAGCAGAGCCAACAACTCCGGAGGCAGTGCCGAGTCAGCATGGGGCTCTCCAACAGCCGGGGGGGCATCTGGTGGAGGTGACTCAAATCCGGGGCCGTGATCCACCACAGGACGTTCGTCAAACCCTACTAGCGTTCGGTTGAGCGGATCATCCTCCTCCGAGTCCGCCTCAGTGCCCCCTGCAAACTCGGTAGCATCTTCATCGTCCTCCGATGCATCGTCGACGCTCAAGTAACCGTCTAGGGCATCACGATCGGCCTCTTCCTGCAAATCCTCGGCATCATCGTCTCCCAAAGCCGCTGCCTGTCGTTGGTGTAAGCCAGCCTCTTGCCTAGATCTGCTGTTGACATCATGCCGAGTCTCTCCAGCGCTCCCGTTTGCTATCTCGAAAAGACCGTCCGTAAACTGAGCCTCCTTTGACCAGCGACCGTCATCCACGTCAGCATTCTGAGTGGTTGAAATTAAATCCTGGTTTTGATCCTGATCTTGATCCTGGTTTTGATCCTGGTTTTGATCCTGGTTTTGATCATGATCTTGATCCTGAGCTTGATCCTGATCTTGACCCTGATCTTGACCCTGGTTTTGATCCTGAGCTTGATCCTGATCTTGAGCCTGGTTTTGATCCTGATCTTGATCCTGATCTTGATCCCAATGCTGATCGTGAACCCGGTCTTGGTCTTGATCCTGGCCATCGGTTTTCATGACAGGGCTGGTGCCACCACCGCGCTCTCCGAGGTGTTCACGATGCACATCTTCATCTTCTGACGAGATGGGCGTGTCGACTTCTGCCAGCGGGTCATCAAAGGAAGCATCATGGGAGGATGCACTCTCGGCATCCACGGGTGCCGCTCCCTCCTCACCACCAGCCACCTGCAAAAACGCCTGTGCCTGCTTGCCGCTGTCCGAGAACGTTGGTGTGCTACAGGATGCATGCGAGTGAGGATGATGCAGTGGAAAAGTAAAGCGACTAGCAATGTGAGAAGGGCAACAATAGAAGGGATCGGAGCTTGTCGTTTCAAAATGCAAGATGCAAATGAGATGCAAATAAAACGCACCGCACGGTTGACGAAACGGTACTGGCAACCACCTCATCTCCCTGGCTTTCCTCGAGTGTATCGGAATTCATTCGTTGTGGCCGGGTCGATCGCGTCGAAGCATGACTCGAAGCCCCGCCGGATCGAGGGCGGTGTCCCATGGCCTCTGGGACGACTTCCAGTTGGTCACCACTTCGTCGCTGTTTTGAGCTTCGGCGAATGAAAGGTGACTCGGCTCCCATGACCCGCATCGAGCTGCAAACCATTGCACACAACACACACAACAAACCCAGGACACGGGTCAAACCAAGCACGAGAAATCACGAACAATGTACAAGAAAGGGCACGGTTTGGACGTTGTACCATGCGAGGACACGTACTCTTCAACGAGGGACGGCTTGAGCGTGGGTCGCGATTCAAAGAAGCGAGCAAAAATGGTTTCGCAAAACTTGATCAAAAGTTCCACAACCATGGTTTGCATGGGCATGTTCATCAGCGACTGCAGACTATCTGCCGACGAGCGCAGTAAAGTGGGACCAAAAACGATGCCCAAGTTGGAGCACTTCATCAAATTTGTCTAAACTCCAGCGCAAGACCCGGCCAAGTGCGCAGGACAGACGAATGTGAGCAGCCTCTGACTCAATAAAACGAGAGAAAAAAAAACCGAGATAAAAACGAGATAAAAAAAAAAAAGGGAGGGGCAAGCAGGGTTTGGCTTGATGGCGCGAGCTAAGAAGCAGCTCGTGATATGGCATTGTGCCGCACCTCTGCGTGCATCGCAATGCGATGTAAATGGCTGCACAAGTAGGCCAGAGTTGAATAGTTGACATCCGGCAGTACGTCCACTAGACGTGTAAACTGGGCAAGCACATGGATGTGTAACACCTCGATCAGCACATGCCTCTGTTATCAGTTCAAGCCTGGCAAACACCCGAGATGACCCGACCTTTTCTGAAGCAAGCACCTCGCAGTTGGGTGCATCATTCGTCTCCATTCGCTCGCGAGCAATGGCCAAAAAGTCGGGTTGCAAATCAGGTGGAATGACTGGAATGGGTAATTGTCGCAAGTAGGTCTTGAGCACGGCTGCCAGTGTGATCGGGTCAGCATCATCCACGCTGACAGCGCGCGGATGGGCCTCAAATTGCGCGCACAAGTCCTCGACTCGGCTCTTGACGCCACTCAGCCGGTAGATACCCTGCCAAGCACGTGTACGTAAGCATGTCCACGATGCCATCTTTAGAGCACCGCCACGAGGAGTTCAATTCCGTTCTCGCAAGTCTCGAGACAAGGTACAAAGCCACAGAATAGAGCACGCGAACCTCAGTATCAATGCCGCGGCGCTCAACAGCCTCGCAAAGGCGGCGGACCAGCACCGGGACGCCGTCTGATGAGTCGGCCACCTGCTCGTCGAGCGACGAGCCAAAAACTGATGCATGCCGCGCCCGCTTGATCGTTTTGGCAGCATAGGCCTGTTGTGCCAGGTTGCAGCGCACCTCCAGCTCCTCCGTACAGCGGCGGTGGCAGGCAATGTGGCATTTAGTGCAGACAAATGCATTAAAGTAGCAAGCCCGCTTGCAGTGCTTGCATTTGGATGGAATTGTGAGTCGCACAAAAGCATGCATATCGGGTTGTCGAGCCACTTCCTGCCAAAGCCGAAACATAATCGCACCAGCCGTGACCAAGCGGTTGTTAAAACCCACGCCCAGAAATTGCTTTGTGGCAGCAAGCGCCAGCTTACCTCAGCACTAAGCACATTGGCTCCTTCGGGCGCGCGATCTTCCCACTCAGCTGCCTCCAACGCGCATGAATTGACGACCCCTGCCAAGAATACAGCCAAGAATACACGGGCAAGGTGCGACAAGGTGGGATAACACCGATGCCGAGGCACGGGAAAGCTCATTCATGAGGAGAGTTGGCGCTCAACGTGCAATGGAAAAAAGGAGACAAAAGCCGCGCACCCATGTGCAGACAACTACCACAGAGCAGACAAGTTTGTACCTCGAGACTCGAGATAAGACATGGTTTCTGGTCGCAGTTGGTACTCGTGAAAGCGGTGAGGATCGGGATTAACAAAGGCATCAAGACCGGCCTCGCTTAATTCTTCAGCCAGGTAAGCCGCCACGTTGGGCGCTGACCGAAATGCCTACCACACACCCCACTAGGTCAGAGCAAAGCTTTGCAGAATGTGGAATGTCACCTGCAACAACTCAAAGAAGCACTTACATCAAGTCGGGCCAGGAGGTCATCAGCGCCACCCGTGTCTGCAAGATGGATGCGATGGGCATCCTATAGGATCCGAGATTTGACGAAACGCCGGAAACAATGAGATATAACCATCACCATGTGGTGTCCAGTCACGGCGTCTTGGATGACAGACCTGATGCAAGAGGAACAATACGTCACGAAGGCATTCACCTCCCTCAAATACGGAATCCTATCAAACAAGCAGCGGAGGGGTTTACGTCGTTCATTTCGGATGGAAACACAATAGGGCTAGAGCAAAGCCAAAGCGACGGGTGTACTTGCAACAAGCACACAAACGTACTGTGAGGCTATCAATGACTTCGCGCCGCGTATCCAACACGTCGGCGCGAGCTTTGTTGGCTTGCTGCAGGGCAGCGGCATATTGCGTGCGCAGCTCTTCCAATTTGGTGCGTTGGTCGCCCTCGTCTTTGACACGCTTGTCTAGCTTGAGCTTGTATTTGCTTTCCTCGGCTTCCTGGCGTTGCGTCAGCTGAGCCTCCCACTCGGTAGCAGCTTGATTGTAGCGACTCTGCGCCTTTTGAGCAGCCGCTGTGGCATCGCTGAGCCGCTTGCACTCGCGCGCCCACTTGTCCTAAGAAGGTTGCAGATGAGCACAGCTCGACCCAGGCGTGCATGCCCCGGTGACAACTAAACGGGCGCACCTTGAGTAGCTTTCGGGTTTGCTCGTGGTGTTGCCGCATCTCCTCAATGGGTCCTTTGTGGGAAATGTTGTGGTTGATGCCCGTAAAGGCGGCAACAATGCGCTGCAATCAAGGGCGACGGCCAAACTCGGTCCGTGAGGCAAGGCTGCTCAGCGCATAGCCCATGGTCTGCTGGCGTTGCTTTTGCTCGGGGTTAGTCGAGGAACATGTACCTGCGAGCTGGCCTCGTGGTGTTCAAGCATCTGAAGAATTTCTGTTGCTCCGGGTTGCGGGCCCATGTCTCGCAGCGTCTGCCAGCCCACACACGCGTGAGCACAAGCAGGCCAGGTTTTGAAGGGCGCGTGCCACGGCAAGGGTTCGCGCCCTTTTTTTCATTTCAGCACACCTGAGCCGTCGTATTGGACAGCTGGCGCAGTTTCTTTTCGTACTCCAGCCTCAAGGCAGCGCGCTTATCGAGGTAACTCGAAAACTAGAGGAGAAAAAGAAGGAAACCCCAAAGAAATAATTGAAGAACGGAAGTTCGTCACAAAAAAAAAAAAAAAGAAAAAAGAAAAAAAAAGAAAAAAAGAAGCAGACTGACAAACCTCCTTGGTGTAGCGCGTCCACTGCTTGGCGCGCTCAAAGAGCTGCGTAACACCGGTGATTTGTTGCTCCAGGTTCATTTTAAGACTGGCGGCAAGGTGACCATCTGAAAAATAGATAAGTGACCAGGAGGTGAGAAGAAAGATCGATGCAGGCAAGTGCAAAAGGGAAACAGTCACGAATGCTTGAGAACATACCACGAGATGTCTCCTCACTTTGCAGCTGGGCCAGCATCTCCTCGGCAGGGTCTAAATGGTCCATACTTGCGGACCTGGTAGAGGGTGGGTGCCAACTCGTTTGCAAATGAGTTGAAGTGCGATCGAATAGTACACCACCTTTGGCAACAAGTTGACGCACATTGCGAGGTCGTTCGCATCGTTGGTGTCCTCATCTTCACCGTCTTGTAGAAATCTGAGATGGGCAGGACCGCATATGAAAAATTGAGCCAAACTACCCGTTCACACACACACACACACACACACACACACACACACACACACACACACACACACACACACACACACACACACACACACACACACACACACACACACACACACACACACACACACACACACACACAAGTAACGACTGTTTGCAAGTACGCACCGACTGATTCGTGTAGTAAATTCACTGCGCAGAAGCTCGGCCAGCTCGTGCACGGCCGCCTTATTCTCACTAGATCCGGCAGAGAAAAGAGCATTTGGGTCAGCTCGCAAAACCAACGATGGCAAAAAAAATGCCCAAGATCTGTTTGAGGGGCCTGAAGGCATTCAAATTGCGCCCGAAAAGGTCACGCAAAACCGGACCTTGTATGACTGGCAGCAAAGGCGTGCACAGCAGCGCCAAACTTGTCAACGACAGCCAAGACATTGGAAGACCAGTCCAAACCCGCCAGCGCTGCAGTCTCAACAATGCACTGGCGCAGGTCCTGAGCACATGCGCAGGCATGGGTGATGGTCAGCAATGAGAAAAAAAAAAGGACATGAACCTGCATGAATCTGATGGAGGCTTGTTGGACACGAACCAAGATATCGGTGTGCAGGGTGCTTTCAGAAGCCTCAATGTCTGAGGTCACCGCGAGGTGAAGACGGCTCGTCAAGTTACTAAACCTCTGATGAGATGTCAAAGGGAGTAGAAGGCGCCGATCAGGAAGATTGAGCATTTCATGCAGACTTGGCAAGCTTCCAAAATAGCAGCCAAGAGTAAGTGGGCAGGGCGGTTGCAATGACCAACGTGGATGTGATTGGTAATGTGCTGCAGCAAGCCCTGATCATCCAAGGTGACAGTGCCCCAAGCTGGTGCCTGTGATGAACTTTGGCGGCCCCTGCAGTGCGAAACATCATCAAAGGTTGATGGTCAAGGAAACAAGTGAGTTAAACATGCATCAATAAATAGCTTGAACACGCTCTGCCGTTCAGTGGCTTGTTGAGCCCAATAAAACACGCACCGGGGCACAGCAGCCTCGCTACTTCGACGAGGACGCGCCGCTGGACCAGGACCACGCACAGCACTCTCGCTTTGTCGGCGCCCCTGCGTGGCGCCAGCGTCCTGCAAGATTGAGCACATGAAGCACATGCCCGTCAGCTAGATGCTCATGTTGACCTTGTGCGGGTCTGCCCTACTCTGAATACTTTGATTACACGAGAGCAGCCTGCTCATGGGACGAACCGCATCGTCGCGGCGGCTGCGCCATTTCAGCATCATAATGCAGCAGGGTGGAGTGCGCTGGGCGGGGTAGGGAGAGGAAGGAGGTCAGCAGGCTGGTGGATCAGATGGATGAAAACCTCCGCGTAAACTTTGGGGGTCTTGAGTCAGATGAGGCCCGCACAGCGCCGCGACGGTGCTCATCTAAATCAGCGCGCGGCACACGGCTTCAAGCATCACGATGCGCAGGGCCGAGGCTCATGTTGCTCGCCACCGCCTGCTTCTCCGCTCGCTAGACTAGCACGACTGGGAGTGAGGCTGTATGAGGAAGGAGTTTACATTGATGAGCGCGCACTCAGGCCGCGCCACAGCAAGCTTTGGCACAATTGCATACGGCGATCCCACAAAGTCCAAGCAGCGATGGAAAGGATGCAAGGGCATACCAAGACAATTGCTTTGAATTTTTCCGGCCAACGAGCTGATGCGCTTGGTCTTGAGATGCCAACCAGACCAGAGCAGGGTCCCCGTCGATCTTTCGACAGTGGGCCAAGGCACGATCCGCAACTATCCCTCGCCTGTCTTGCGTGGCGCAAATCCTTTGGCAGCCCGACGCGCCTCGTCCGCTCACACACAAGGCCCAACTGAATCACTCACTCAGTCCCACACACACGCACGCACACCCTCAATACAGCTCGTTGCATGCAGCACGAACCCCCTAGCACCTAGCACGCACGCACGCACAACCAGCTCGAGCGGGAAGCAGCAGTTCGAGTTGAGAGAGAGAAACAGGAAAAAAAAAAATTTGTCGACACACATACACACACACATTTAGCTCAACCAGTGACTCTTTTTCCCAAATCCAAGATCTCTCTCTCTCTCTCTCTCTCTCTGCTCTCCTCGGATATTAAAAAGTTTTTTTGAGGGGGTTAAGGAGTCTGACATTTGAGGCTGATTTGTGTGTGAGTGTGTGTGTGTGTGTGGGATTGTGCTCAGAACGGAAGCAGGAAAACACTGCCGGACACTGCCGGACGCTGTCGGGCGTGGGCCTTGGGCGATTGGCCGGATTAGAAGACTATCAGCACAACCAGACAGGATGGCAGCTAACAAGCATGGCGGGCAAAGTGAAGGCGCTGATGCACGCATGGTCCAAGGTGTGTCGATTTGCGTTCGACTTGCACTCCCCGCCGTGTCCTCATGCTGCTTGAGGGGATGTAGAGATGCGCCGAAAGCTCCAAGAATCAGGTGCCGAGGATGCTGTCCTGGCCCAGTTACGTGAGCAAGTCCTGCGTGTCCTTGATCGAGAGGTTGGTCCAGCTCCTTGCGAGCATCGATGCATAGACCCAGCTTACACTTGGCTGCATGACTTTTGTACCTGTCGCAGACGCCACGACGAAAACCCGACATTGATGGCAACGTGCTACTCATCAACGAGCTTATTCGTGAATACCTGGTGTACCAAGGCTACGAGAACGCCGAGCGTGTCCTTGTCGCTGGTTCGTGTCCCTGTCGCTGGCTTGCGCCGTTTCACCTAGTATACCGTCCCATCTCTGGTCTCTTGGCCGGCAGTCTGACCCAGTGGTGCCACTGGGTGCCAATTCCCGGTACAGAAAGCGGGCAGCCCGCGGAGCGCTTGCCGCGAGATTTCGTGGCCGATGAGCTCAAACTTGATGACCATGGATTGACCAAGCAGCTGTTTGTTCTGGCCGCCGTTCCTCCACACACACAGCTCCCCATTTTTTTTTCTTTTTTCCAATTGTCTTCACTTCGCTTCGCAGCTCATCTGCTGTGTGCTGACCTGCACCTTTAGGCCCCTTCTAGCCGTCTTGGTTGCGCAGTTGCGTGCTGGCAGCTTGCCGGTATTGTCCTCAGGCCCAACTACGGCCGGGACCCAGCATCGAGCTTAAAGGTTTTTTTTGTTCAAAGAGCACGACACGATCAAGCATGATCGTGTCGATCGTTGCCAGGCCATCAACAACAAGAAGAGTAGTTGTGTGAAAGAGTGATGACTACATGTAACAGACATTTTTAATTGACGCACAGCGCCCACATCCCAGTCTTCAAATTTCAAATCCCAAAGGTCCAGATCACCTCTCTTGCACTTCTTGCCTTGTACCGCCGACTCACGCGCGTCAAGTCGTAATGGGAAAGGCGTGACTCAGCATGCAAATGGTGGCAGCCAGTACAACTACCATGTCAAACAGGGACAGGTCGTTATGATCAATCCCAATCAATACGTATCCTACAACAGGCCACATCACCGTCGCAAATTGAGTGAGCTGCGCGCCACAAAAGGCGTGAAGCATGGGTCTCCTGCTTCCTCGCCAGTCAAGATCGGGCAAGCCTCAACTCTTTGCGAATCCCCCGCCCTCATCACGTCGGAATCACCCTGTTTGATCACCGAGTTTAACCAGCAATGTTTCATTCACTCGTTACTACCCACCGCAGAGGACTCCGGTCAGAATTCGGCCCTTGTCGTCGTTCTTGAGCCACTGTAGCCAGCCACGAAGTTGCCGCTGCATGCTCTGGCAGGATCCAGCGAGATAGGGTTCAAAACACAGACGAAAACGAATCAGCCAGCACCACGGCGAGCAAGCTCAAGGAAGCCCGTTGATTAGCTCAGAACATGCTCGTGCGGCACACTTCCAACTCACCAGCGCCTGCTCACGCTGCTGCAGCAGCTGGCGATCTATGGCTTGAATCTCCTCACTGCTTGGCACGGGCAAATCTTCACGCAAGCGCTGCTCGTGTGCCAGACCACGTAAGGTAAAAGAGGGATGGGCGCTGTGGATCTCAGAACGGCAGGTGGGACACCGCTGTCGCCGCTCCAGCAGCTCCAGGATGCAGGTTCCTACGCACGCCGAAGAATGTGCCTGTGTCGTCAGCGTCCCCAGGTGACACTTTCCCGCAGAGTTGAAGAGGTTAAAGCAAAGTGGCAAAGCTACTTGCCACAGAAAGCGTGCCCGCAGTCCGTCTCGCAAGCGGCTGCCAAGGTATCCTATTTGCGATTTCACCAGCCCCGAAGGAGTTTGTGAGCGAGCAGTCTTGCTGTTTTTCCCCTTCTCCCGCAGAGCGCATTGACCGCCACATCCTTGACCTCTTCAGTCCATGCGCCACATACCAGGCAGATGCTGCATCGCAAGTGGTCCGATGCGCTTTCTGAGGCCATGTTGGCTGCCATCCCACTCATCAATCGCCCTCTTTGCGAGTTACACAAGAGGAAGAAAAATTCTTACAAACAAGCTTTTGCAACAACAAGGTTAATTTTGTCTTACAATGTGGGCACAGGGTCAAATACATTATGGTTGAGGGCACCACGTCACAGACGCGTTGGAGATGGCAAGCATCATTACGTAGGGAGGGTCGTTGACTCGGGTCAAGCTCAGTGCTCAACATCAATCTCCGTCGTGGTTGAGCCCTGTGAAGCTTCTGACGCATCGTGCTTGCCCGACGCTGGCGCGGGGGGGTTTGCAACATCGGGAGCAGCGTGACTCTGTGTGTTCCCATCCGACGCTGCCGGGGTGCGAATCAGCCCCAACTTTTGCGCCACGCGACGCATCAGGCCCTCAAGTTGCGTAAGGGGTACGCGCTGGACTTGAGTCAAGTCACTGGCGGCCAAAGACCCCGCCCGAACGCACTCGAGACTGCAAGTGGCACAGGCAAAGTGCCCCACCAGCTCGTCACGCTCGGCATCGACATGACTCCACGCATCATCCGGGTCCTTGGGAATCGGCTTTTGCGACTAATGCATTCAAGCAAACAAGAAAAAGAAAGAAAAAAGGGGGGAAAAAAAGAAAAAAAAGGTGCGGGTGAGTGGTTCATTCAACTCACAGCAGGCAACGCCGCAGGCCAGCACGCACCCAAAGAAAAGATGCAAAACAAATGCGCCGACAGCGACCGCAGGTGATCGCGGTGGTGGCAAGCTTGGCCCGCATCCGCATTTTCATGTTCATCTTGCTGGCCGTTGATCCACCACTGTGTAAAGACATGGGCTTGGCCATGGTTGCAAATGCTGAGCCATTAGCATGGGCCCCAGTTGCCTCCGCATTCACCTTGTCTGTGCGGGTGTCGAGCAAGTCTGGCCGTGCCACTAACAAATCGTCCAGGTCTGTGCTCTTTGTGACTCCCTACGCCAGTATGCCACACATGCACAAATCCGCGCATGACGTGCATTGTGGATTTTCATGAGCACCCATCAGACCGTTTCAAGCCACGAGCCGACGAAAGCAAGCAGCGCATGATGCCGGGCCCAAGCCTACAATCTGTTCGAGCAGTTGTCGATTCTTCTTTTCGCTGGCGCGCATGTGCTGCAGCAAGGGCAGCACCTTTTGAAGCACGGCTTGTTGAGACTGCGATACAGTAAGATAGGCAAACAGCAGCCAAGACTTGGAGTTAGGGCCAAAGCATGAAGATGCGTGCCCCAACATGCTGCGCGCACGCGCAAAAGGGTGTAAGAGTGAAGATGACCACTGACCTCCTTTTGAGCAATCTCGCAGAGAAGCTTTTCCTGATCGATGGAGACCGGTCGCCGCTGCGCATGGTAGTCTTGCATGGCCTTAAAGCCTGTTTGCCATGAAGCGGGTCAGGGCAAAATCGGATGAGGTCTCGCAAGTACACAGGGGTGGGCCACCTCCAGTTTTCCTCTGCCGAGCCCCGCTCCCTGGACGCACCAAAGGGCAGCCAGTCGGGGGAGGCAAAGTTGACGGCCTCGCCGCAGTTGAAGCCGTTGCTGAAGCCGCCATGATACGACTACCGCCGAGCCGCGAAAAAGACACCAAAGCAGCATGAAGGTGAGACAGAGGGGCTTGATGGCATGGAATACAAGCACGGCAAGCAAGGCGCCTTGAGGCACAGCATGAAACTCTCTTGCTCACCTGGGGAAAAGTGACAATGAAATCCCTGGGCTCTTGCACGCAGGTAGTGATCAACACACCATCCTCTGCTAGTTTGCCGGGAGACAGCTTTCTCAGTGCAGAGCCACGGTGAGCGGAGAGCATGTGAGTGATGAGATGCGGCAAGCCCAGCGCCGGCTTCCTCACCAAACGCCTGGATACATACCTGGGTGACAATATCATGCAGCAAGTGGGGGTTGTGGGCAAAAGCGTTGGGCAGCCGTCGCCGAAAGGAAGCTTCAAACTGCCGCGCGTGTGACGATGGACAGCCATACCTGCGTGCCAACCAGCATGAGTTTTAATGTTGTTGGGCAATACCCAGCTGGAGCACACAAGAGAAACCACTGCCAGAGACCAAGTTGACAGCATGACTAACCAGCGTTTGCCGGCGCCAAAGTGCATGTAGTTGATTGAGTAGAGGTAGTTGTCTTCAACTGCAAGCCCAAGGGTTTAAGGACAGATTCGAGTTAGAGCAGAGCAAAGCCCCCTCAAAAGGAAAAAAGATGACGTCGCAGCCAGTGTCCACGATGCCGCAGGCGGGTACGTTACCATGCCAACAGAAGGAAGAGAAAAGCATGCCGACGTAAAGCCACGGCATGGAAATGCCTTGCACGTGATCAAAAGGCGCAAGCACCAGGGCACGGTGAGGATCAAATGTTGAGGACACTTTACCAAGCCCATCCGCGTCAAACCGAAGAACTGACCAGAGATACCATCAGCGTGTTTTAGCACGGATTCTGGCAAGCCAGGCAGCACGTTGAGATTCCAGCCGAATTTGGAGTAGGGCTCGTCAAACGCCGTGGGAAACCCAGAACCATGTGTTGTCACATCAATGTCACTGCCATATAGCACGCTCACATGGCGTTGCCCCTCGACAATTCGCCAGTAGTCTCGTTCAATCTCCGCCGGCGTGGGGTCATGATCGGGATACCAGGCCCTGTAACCAGACAACGGTTGGGAATGACAAAAGCAGCCCATTGAGAGGAAAACATCGACCGTCAGAATCTTCTCCAAACAGCAGAAAGAAGGGACTATGACTCGACTGGGTCAAACTCGGGTGGCATGATACTCACGCTTTGAAACTGTCAGCAACTCGGCGAAAGCCCCCGAGCGAGTACTGCTGGCCATATCCAAAGCCAAAGTCGTCGTTTGTGTCAGCAGGTTCATCGCGTGCGGCACTCATCAGATTGGCGCGCTCCTCCTCGCTGCGTTGAGCAGATTATGCGTATCGGCTTGAGACAGCGCGAAGCGCTGGGGTGACAAACAGGCAGCAAATAACGTCGCAATCTCTTCATCTGCTTGCCTGCATTTGCACATACCTCAGGAGCGCAAATGTGACCAGGTACTTGTAATAAATGGCTTGGAGGCGCACGGGGTCATGGGCCGCAAGCAGTGGTACTTTGAGGTGCGCTGCAACTTCCTCCCACTACACACGTGCACCATTTTCGCGACCGATGCAAGTGGTGAGCACGAAGAATAGAGGCTGCCCAAAGCTTGTTTTTTTCATAGCCAACACAGTATGGGGCCATCGGATTCTTTGATACTCTGCCTCGGCTCCATCGCAGCTTGCTAACTAAGTCAGTCATGTCCGATGCGGCTGCTTTGTGCACCACCTTGGAAGGAAAAAAAACCAAACAGATACACATGCTCTTACCAAGTTTTGTTCCCCGACAGTGTCACAGCCTCCGAGGTCTTCCACGACATGATAGAGCACTTCAAGATCAATCTCAAAACCAGCAATGGCTGGCCATGGAGCAATGACAACGTTCTCGCCTGCCAGGTGGCGTTGCAGAGCGCGTATAAAGATGTTGGGCTGGTCGCGGTCATACAGCAAATGGGTGCGCTGAACTCGCGTTGTAAACTTGAAGGCTGCATCTGCCAACGGGAAAGGGGGGTCCCACCCCTCTGGAGGAATGATTTTGCAGATGCCAAAGCCCTCGGCCTCGGGCCGAATCTGCTCAATATATTGAAGCGGCTGCGCAAACTCTTCAATCTACTCCGGCGTGGCATGATGTCAGGCAGTAAAGCAAGCATGGCAAAAGGACAGTTGGCCGCGGGCAAGCTTTTTGATGTCAGGCACGACGTACGGTTGGACGGAAGACGGGGCAATGGACCACGCCAGGGTGCACCGAGGGCGGCTCCGCCTTGGCTTGGGCCTGGACAGCAGGGCCTGCTGACTCGGTCAAAGGAGAGGCAGAGGTGGCGGTGACATCCTCCTGCTTGATGCTATTTGGAGCCTTGGAATCTTCTGTAGCCTGTGATGGTGTATTCAACTGCACGGCTGCCGCATTCCTCTGCGGCACCTCTTCGGGCTCCAGCTTGGGCCGCTTCGCCGCGGCATCCATGGTGCTCTCAACCTCCAATGCACGAGCAGGCAACCGCCCATGATCGGTCACCAACATATCAGATCCATCAAGCCCAGCACCCGAGGTCGCCATCCCATCGGCGTCATCAAATGCTTGGATCCCCTACCCTTTCATGCGCCATTCATCGAGCGCGCACGCACTCAGAGAGAGAGAGTCAGAGACCGAGAGAGAGATTGAGACAGATTGAAATTAAGAGAGACAGATTGAAATTAAGAGAGCGTGAGCGAAATAGTTAAGATTAGGCGTTGTTGTTATAAAAACGAGGGAACCTCAGCCACGACCAAAAGTAAGCGAAATATTTCAAGTCACGAACCTTACTGAAAGCTACAACTTCTTCCTGAAGGCGGCTTTCACACGCACCGTTAACCTTGACACCAACGACAACAAGAGCAACTCGAGAGCGTTTTCGATTTTCATGTGGGCAACGTGGTGGCAAGCGGCTCCACACACACACCAGCCATTCCCACACAAATTACCTTCAACCGCCCACACTCACCGGATGCACGAGCTGCAAGGTGTACTAAGGTGTAACAAGCTCATAACAGCAAAAACAAAATAAAAAATCTTCTTTGAACCTTTTGTTTTCGCTCCTCAAAAAAAAGACAACGGTCAAACGACTCGGCGAATCACGGCACGCACGGACGGACGGACGGACGCCTGGTCTTGGATGCGTGGCGTAAGCTCGTCTTTCAGCGCGGTTTCGTGGGTCGAAGACCGCCCATGGCGGCAGTCCTGGGTCTTTGTTAGCCACTGTGAAAGTGTGCTGGGCCCGTATTGGTTCGTCCAAGCACCAATCTTCTGTGGACTTTGATCACCGCGAACATGGAGACGGCATCGTTGCACGATGTGTCGACGCAAGAGCAAAATGCCCTTCTCACCCTTGCCCTCATCTCCATCGGATACAGTGAGTGTGCGCCCCCTCTCACATGCCTGCACCGGTACCAAATCGATCTGTCAGCATCTCTTTGACCACGTTGTGGCCTTTGCCCCGGTCCGGCTCTGCAGATCCGGGAACAGGGGCTCCGCGTCGCCTGAAGTTGCGCACCGGTCCCGCACGCAGCTTTATCGAAACCATTCCATCCCCCTCCTACAGCCTCTTTCCGACCACATTCGATGCGCCTCGGCCAGCCAGCTCAACCATTTACCTCAAGGCCAGCAACATCGAGGGTCGACATGATGGTCGTGAGCGCGTCAGCCGCAACTTGCGCCGTGAGTGGCGTGACTTTCTCACCTGCCTCGGTCGCTTGGCAAGCGGAGCCCAACCGTGTCCATGTCAATCCGCCGCCAGCAATGAGTGCGAATGCAACACTGTAGCGGTACGTCTCGCCGGTGTGGGTGTGAGCTGCTGTTCTTCCTTCAGCCTATTTGCGCAAGGACCAAGAGCTTGATAGAAGCGTCGTGCTTGGCAAAGGCGGCTCACAGAGTGAAGATCCAGGGAGCGGGGAGGGCAAAACAATAAGGCAACAGGAGAACAGGGCCAACAAGTGGAGCAGAGAAAGAGGCAACAGCAGAGATGGAGCACAGACAGGTTGATGGCGAGGAAGGTGGAAACAGCCAACATCTCCCACTCCCGCTCGGCGCGTGCGATGGAAGCGATGGGGAGTGAAGATATGGGTAGCAAGTCGTGATCAGGAGCTGGCCTTTTTTGTTTGGGTTGACTGCTTCCTTCTCAAGTCTTGTCTAATGCTTCTTTGTGTGCCCTGACCATTGTGCTTGACACATGTGCGTATGTGTCTGTTTGTGTGTGCGTAGCTATGCCAGCATCTTCGATCCATGTTCTTGAGCTTGCCCGAGTGGCGCACCATTGCCGGTGAGCAGACCCCAACATGCTGCTTGCGCTCAATGCGCACCCGCGTGCTCTGTTTCCGTTGTGCATGCTCAAGTCTTCATTGATGTTCCTTATTGCGCGCTTTTTTTTTTTTTCTTTTTTTTTCGCGCGCGCGTGCCGTTGGGTTGATGTCATTGGGTGAGACTGCTCGCCGAGGCTCATGGTTGTTTCGGATGCTTCGTAGCCTACGACAATGCCAAAGACATCAAACTCCACCTGCGAGGGATGCTGGACATTAGCGACCGGTTCACGGCCGATCCGAATGACCATACCTTTGACGCCACGCTGGAAGTGGTCAGCTGTCAGCTCAACAAGCACGGCTTGCGGCTGATTCGGAGTGGGTTACGCTTCACGGTTGAGCGGTTGGACCAAGGGACCGGCGAGTGGGCACCTGTCCCCAACCCGCCACGGAGTGAAGGCGTCCCCAACCTACCACGGAGTGGAGGCGTCTCCAATCCACCACGGAGTGAAGGCGTCCCCCACCCGCCACGAAGTGAAGGCGTCCCCAACCTACCACGGAGTGAAGGCGTCTCCAATCCACCACGGAGTGAAGGCGTTCCTCAGCCCAAACGGATGAAGATCTTGGCCCATGTTGACCAAACTGGAGAGCAGCGGGCTGAAGCCTCAGATCAACCTGTAGAGTTTTGTGCGGCATCACCCCAAGAACAAGAGTGGGCTGACGAGGAACTTGGTGTCATGTTTCCCCCAAAATCCGACGATACGATAGCCTATGAGACGATGCACCTCCTTGATCAATCACGAGGGCGAAGGGCATGAGTGACCCATCCTATCTGGCATTTGATATTATAATAATCATAACATGAGCCTTTGCCTGCACCCAATTTATACAACATGCCGTCTAGCATTCGGATCACTGTCTTTCTGCGCATGAGCAATGTCAAGCCACGACAACCGCGGGTCCGTCCGTTGCAAGGAAACACTTGTTTCGAAGAGACAACACAGCTATGAAGGACCGGGCTGCTGAAGGTGCAGGTTCTTACCAACAAAGGTAGGGCCAAAAAACAATTGAATTTTTCAAAAGAGGGCGCTCGAAAGGAAAGGAAAGGAGAACAACCAGTACCAGAATACGATTGGAAAAAAAAAAAAAAAAAACTGCCAAATCTAGCCAAGAAGGAAGGAAAACATCGATGAAAACTCACACAACACATGAACACATGCACGTCTGCGATAAATGTGCTTCGGGCTCTGCCCTACGCCAAGCCACGACAAGCCAGACATCCTTCTAATCGTCAGATGGACTTCAAGGAACTAGCAACAGCCGCCGCCAGAGCTGACAGGCTTGCCAAGAGTCACGGGAATCTTTGAATTACCCTTGCCCGCATTGACGGTCTCTGCACCTAGGCAGTCCTCGGCAAGGTTCAGAAAAGCCTTGCTTACGTTGTCGGCAGTTTTGGCGCTAACGACCACGTGAGCCAATCGATGGCGCGATGCAAACTCGGTTGCCTAAAATGATTACAGCAAGACGTGCGGTAACGCCCGTGGTGAGCTTGAAAGTCCAACAGAGGCGACCAGCGACTTGCGCCGAGATTGCCAAATTGAAAAACGTACAATATCCAATGCATCGTCCGACTTTTTGATGTCGGCCTTGTTGCCTACCACAATGCACTTGATATCGGAGCGCGCCGACTTTTTGACATCTTCATACCACCTAAGCGTCTCGAAACAAAAAGCCGCGGTCAGTGTACATCGAGGGTGGGCCAGGGGGTTGGACAGCCGTGGCTCAAGGAGAATCAACGCACCGTGACAAACTTTGGGCTGATACCACATCTGTCAGATCATACACAAAAATGATGCCGTGCGCTCCACGATAATAGGATTGGGTAATGCTCTGAAACCGCTCTGAGAAGATGCCAGAGATTGCAATCCATATCGTGAGATGAGAGATGAAGCCTTGGGTTAGCACATGACCGTTTGAGGCCAAAGCCTCAAGCAGGCAGGCTAGGAAGCCTGTAGAACCAACCTTGGCCAGCAGTATCCCACACTTGAATTTTGACCTGCTTTCCTTTCATCTCGACCGTTCGAAAGAAAAAGTCGACGCCAACTAAACGAGGAAAAAAGGTCCAAAAAAAAAAAAGGATTGATGCGAGGTGAGTCGGAATCAGACTGAAAACCGAAAGAGGAGGTCAGTTGACCGTGCAGCACATGGTGATCGTACTGGTGGGGCCATGAAACTCTGGGAAGATGCCGTTGGCAAACCGTTGAATGATGCTTGACTTGCCAACCTGGCTGTCACCAACGGCACAGAGCTTGACAAGGTAATCTGAAACATGGTGTACATATGAGTGTGTGCAGATGACAGAGCTACATCTCAGTTGGTTGAAAGCACAAAGTACAAAGAGGGATTTGACCATGCACTGGGCACCGGTGTTCGACTTGACAACACCAATGCCTGCTGCTGACTCCAAAGGCAACGCACCATAATCGTTGTCAAAACTCATGGTCACTGGTCTTTGACGAGCCGCTTTGCACGACGGTGGGTTTCTAGCCAAGCCCAGGCAACCCACAGCTCTCCACTGCACGCAACCAAATGCCAAGAGGCCCTGCCGTCCAAGTCAGAGGAAAAAAGAAACACAGATGTCGTCGTCGCCACGCCTGTGCTGAGGATAAATCCGCCTGATTGTTGTCGAACGCGTCCAAGCGTCAAAAAAAAAAAAATGCGGTTGAAAGGCGTTGACAACACCAACTTTGAATAATGCGACAGAAACTCGTGGCGGATGCCTGAAGGTCGCCCAATAGCAGCGTCATCAAGTCCAAAATTAGCGACAAAAAATACAAACCGACAACAAGGCAAAACGGACACAGATGCTTTGGAGCCAATCTCCCCTCCCCCCGGCAATCGCAGGCAGCAACGCGGGCAACCCATGTCTCGCAAGTGCCGGACAACCTACACATCCCAGGCTCTGAATACTCTAACGTACAAGCACCAAGACAACGCCTCGGATCTCGCTGCCTCGGATCCGCTTCCCGCTGCCCTTTTTGGTTAGTCCCAGCGCGCGGCGTGCCAATACGCTACATGTGCATCGATTGCCAACCTGTCAAATTGTCTGACGTTCTCAACGCATGTTTACAACAGAGTCTGACATGACAGAGAGAGAGAGAGAGAAAATGAGAGAGAGAGAGTTTGAGAGAGATGAATTGAGAGAAGTCAAGAGCAAAGACACAAAGGAAAAGTACAACTACCACAGAGAGAGAGAGAGAGAGAGTTTTTGATGCACGCAGAGTGACCAAGCAAGGATGGCAATGGCAGTGTGTCGAGGTCGACTGCTGTCGGTGGCGACAGTGCTGCTGGTCGTGGCCATGGCGGGGCCAGGCGTTGCAGGCATGTCAGGGCAGCAGTTGCAGACTTTGACCAATGCAGCCATTGCGGCCAAGCAATCGGTGTTGGCGCTGCCTGAGGGCCGCATTGAGTTTGGTAGCGTTGAGTACATGATTCAAGGCGCGCGCGATCTGACCATCGTCGGTGCCGTGGACGCGGCGGGCATTCCGCTCACCGAGCTCTGGTTTGCCTTTCCGGGCGCCGTGCACCTTTACAACTGCTTCAATTTCACCTTATCCAACGTCATCATTGATTTCGAATCCACCTACGCCCAAGGTGGGTGCGATCCCATGCTCAAATAGAAGTATGATGTTACCCGAAGTGACTTGTGCGCTGACTTGAGCTTGCCAATTCACTTGTCAGGATCCGTCACGAGCTGGGACGAGGACAATGGCCGGTGGTTCATTGCCGGGTTTAACACCCTCATGATGATGCCTGATCCCAACCTGGAGCCATTTTTTGCCCCACCCTACAACGACTCTATCAAGGTCTGTTTAGCCCCGCCATGTGCTGCCCATCCGGCCCGAGCACGTTCCCACACTCCTATTTGGTCTCCTCTGTCTGACACGCTCCTTTCTTCTCTCTCTCTCTCTCTCTCTCTCTCTCTCTCTCTCTCTCTCTCTCTCTCTCTCTCTCTCTCTCTCTCTCTCTCTCTCTCTCTCTCTCTCTCTCTCTCTCTCTCTCTCTCTCTCTCTCTCTCTCTCTCTCTGACGCTCCCTTAGGTAGCATTCTGGGACGCTAACAAAACCATGATTCGAAACGCAACTTTCACGGACGGTATCAATATTTTCATGGAAGGCAGCACCGCTATGGGGCCCACCTCCCCCTTTACAGTGTTGTATAACATCTCCGTTAACACAAACATTTTCGGGCGCATTCCGGCCTGGACCGAGCCACCCATGGTCACGGTCATGCCTCGCGGCGGGCAGCACTCGCTCCTTGTTCTCAATACTTCCGCCAGCCTCTTTGACAACGTACACATCTACGGTGGTAGCTCCATGGGAATCGTCGAGTCGGGCGGATATGGCCCAGCCAACACATTTTACAAGCTCAACATGACACGCCGGGCCCTTGTCAACGAGAACGGCACCGTCGACCGCCTCTTGGCCATCAATGCCGACGGCTTTCATTCCACCTCCAATCAGCACGCCGGCGCGCTAATCCAGTCCACCATCTCTTTCACCGGTGACGACCTCATCAACTACTGCAGTGCCATGCTGGTGGTACTGGCCAGCCCCAGCGTGACCGAAACGACTGCTACGCTGGCCATTCTCGACAACGCGCGACTGCTCGAAATCATGAGGCCGGGTCAGCGTATCACCTTCTTTCACCTCAACTCGGAAGCTTACCAAGCGCAAGCCGAAATTGTGGGCATTGCCGAGTCGCAGGACCCCGACTGGCTGCAACGCGCTGCCAACGTTCGCCAAACCCTGACCAACCCACCTTACAACGCAGACTTTACACGCTCCATCTTCAGCAACCCAGGTCCCGTGTATGCCGTGAACGTAACTGTCACCGCCGGTAACCTTAGCAATGTCCAGGAGTACTGGTCTACAGCCCACATGGACCCCTATGCCAACATCAACCCACACTTGACCCAAAGTCACCTCCATGACAGCTATTCGCGCATGCTCATGCTCAAGAGCTCGGGCGCCATGGTTGATAACAATGTTTTTGAACGTGCGGGTGGCGTTCATCTCGGCCCTGAACAGGAGTGGCTCGAGGGTGATCCCGGCCAAACGAACGTGACGTTTGTTCACAACACCATCATTAACGGCGGTACCAATGAAACCGCCATTCAGCTGCAGCCTTGTCTGACCATCAATAAAGCCAATATTATCATGGCTGATAATCAGATTGAGCTCACCAACGAGTAAAGCTTTGGCTTTCGTGCTTTGAGGGCATACGAATCAACATCAAAACAATCGGCCATCTTCGGTCTTGCTTTGATTGATTGAAGAAACAAAAACATACTTGCATCTTGCTCTCCTCCGTCGTTTGAATAGTCGACACGTTGAGCTGCCCGCCTAGATCAAATCTTTCGATCTGGTCCAACGCCATCCATCTGATTCGTTGATGTGGGAAGCACAAATCAGGAGCTGCTCAGATATTTTTGGGTCCACAGTTGATCAAAGGTATGTGTGGGCAGAAAACTCGAGGGATCAATTTCAAAATGTCTGAGCGCGCAGGATAAACAGGGAGCCTTCCTCGCGCTTGACCCATTGGATGAGCATGAGAATGGCATTAATGGCCGCCGGCTTGGCCGTGAGGGGATCGAATGAGGCATAGAGCTCGAAACTTGATGTGAGCTATCGAATCGGTGACACATGTCCGAATGCACGGGCGACATGAGGTTCGAATCACCAGAACATAAAAAACAAAACCAGAAAAGAAAAAAAATTCTCGAAAATCGCCAAAAAAAGCGCCCAGAAACACAACACAACAAAACAACAACAAACAGCACAATAAAACGAACTCAGTTTCGTGATTCCAAGCAAGCAGATACGTACCCAGCCGAGGGTAATTTCGTCGGATTGGGCATGGTACATAATTTGCAACGGCACGGCTCCCGAGTGCATAAAGTGATGAACGTGTTGGTAATTGCGTTGCAATCGTCGGGCGTGCTTCAACATGGTATAAGGGCCAATCAGCTGTGGTGATGTGAACTATTGAAACAGGAGCAGATGGATGGCATGGTCAGTTGGAGTTGAGGAGTTTCAGGGCCTTTCCAGAGCATCCTCGCTCGCCGAAAAGGAGTCCCCTCTTACCTGTGCGGTGCTCTTGTTCTTGTAAATGAAGTGGCGCAATTGCGGTACACCAACGACGGCTGTAGCCAGCCAGCAATTTAGAATTGGTGAGAACGACGTATTATAGCCAGCTGGGTTAGGGCAGAGGGGCAGATGGGCATTTAGGCATGCGCGTGTGCTGGGCGTACATGGCTCATAGTCTTGGCGCTGGAGTGCCGTCTCAATGTCATCCAAGCAGCCCTGACTGCTCATCATGCGCAGCATGGTAGCTCGGGCTTCAGACAACACGTAAAACGCCTCGGCCTGCGTGCTGATCAGAAACAAGCACGTCCTTGACTCACTGTCAATATATGAAACCTGGATCGCGCACACAACAGGTCAGGGCGCATGCACAGTATATTCATCGTCCCCATGCAACAGGGCAAGGTGGGCTCACGTGGGCATGCAGAAAGCCACCACTGTGAAATTTGGGCAAGCAAATGGGCATCCAATTTTCAGCCTCCTTGAACGTGCCAGAAGCGGCAACCATATTCATAAGCAACAGCAAGTCTAAATGGCCAAGCACCATGCAAAAATAAGAGTCATGTGAAATGAGCAAGCAAATGGCGTATTCATATGATGCCGCCACAATCATGACGCAAACACAATGCCACACGTGAGCGCAGGGTAATAAACCTTGTGGTGGCAAGCTATGGCGCTTGTTGCGCACTAAGGTGACGAGTTGGTTGTCGGCTACCAGGACGGCAAACAGCAATTCCTGCTCACGGCCACCGATAGAGTCAAGCCGGACCAGCGTTTGCACATGTGAAGGTCGGGGCAGCCGAGGTGGACCCGGTTTTAGATTCAGGGGCATGCACGGGGGCAGAGGTGTTTCTAACCTTGCAGCGCTGTGCATTGATGATGCCGCCAATTTTGTCACGATGAGCTTGGGGCATGCGCAGACACTTGATAGCCGAGAGGAAAAACGAGGGGTCATCGGTCATTCGATCGATGAGACTGTCCGTAAACTTTTCCGTGCCTGGTCCAGGTTCAGATGAGAATGAACAGAAGGAGAATAAGCGCATTGCTCGTGTCAAACTGTGGGCAACTAGTCAAAGACGGAGAATCACGATTATCAAGGCAACGCACCCCCTAGCACGTCGCGTAGATCAAAGCTAGCCTTATTCTCAAAGAGACGCTGCAATTGGGTGAGGGTCAGCGAGGACAAGATCTGGTTGTAGACATATGTCAACTGCACCGCCAGCTGGGGATGGGTGGGGTCGGGTTCGGTTGGCCAGTGAGTGCACGAACGGCCGAGACATCATCCCATCCGTGCTCAGCATGGGCAACAAGCTACGGACATGTGTATGGGATTCGCCCGTGCGGGAGATCATGACGAGATAGAGGGGCCCGCGTTGCAAAAAGACAAAGATTTGCTGACCAGCGCGGAACCATCTGATGAACAGTCCATTTGTTCCCAGCGAAGCAGGCGCAAGAGGGCTGTTAATTCACGGCAAGGCATATTGTTGGGTCAAATTGGGGGCGGGCAAGGGTCCCACCTCAGTTCGTCCCGATCGTTCTCCACAAAGGAGACCAGGGCGGACATGACACCCATCAAGGTGACGTGTTGCTCCTCATGGCCATGGCTGTTGGTTGGAAAGTGGTCATGAGCACGAGCATGCGCACGGCGTCGCGCTGACGTTGGATGGTTGGCGGGGTAGTAAACTCCTCACCGGGTGTAAATGGGTTTGCCGGCATTGCTGAGGATGAAGACGTGCTTGTCGTGATCCTTCCAGCTGACGTCGTGACCGGCTTCGGCGTTTGAGCTTTCAGAGGCAGCCGCGGGAGCAGCCCCTAGGCTACTGGTCCCTTCCGTACTGGACAGATGAAGACGTTGGCGCGAAGCTTCTAGGCGTGCTGCGTTTAGGGCACGGCAGCACAAAAAAAAAAAGTCAAAAAGAAAGAAAAAAATGCCGACAATTGAGTTGTCAAGTCACCGTCCTGGAGGATCGGGGCGGTCCAACCCCAACCAAGGAGCCAAAGGCGCGCCTACCAGCTTCGCTGGGTGCTTGCTCGTCGGCAACATCTTCGGTTGCCTGTGGGCCTCTGCACAAACACCAAGCGTGGCAAGGTCAACAGTGGCGGTTGCAGCCACGGAGAAGGCGCCAAGAAAGACCCACCGGCCGACGTGATGAATGCTGAGATCATGAAGCTCGTCATAGTCATCCAGGGGCTGCGAGTCTTCGGCAAACATGGCGCTGGCCTCCCTAAGTTGGTTTGAGCGATGATGGCATGTGCGGATGTGCGGATGTGCGCGGTACCAGAAGCAGGTGAGGCCGAGATCAGCTGCGGTTGAGGAGGGTGAGAGTTGGCGGTGGTGGGGCGGGTGTTGGACGTACGTGCCCCCAGGCGTAGTGAGGGGTTCCTCGAGCTCGTCACCATTATCAGATTTTGTCGCAGCGGGCTGAGCCATGGCGTTGGTGGAAGGCAATGCTGGCCGCCACTGAAGCAGCCGAGCTGGGCAGCGCTTTTTGATTCGCGGGTGCTGTGCTGATCGTCGCCGGCACGATCTTGTCCTCTGCTTTGGATTGGAAAATACCAACAGGCAAACAGGCAGAGCGTCCTGCCTCCCGCTTACGACCACTGATCACCCGTTTCACCCGTCACACTCCAGTGAGCACCCCCGGACAACAGTGGGGAGGTTTGTAGCTTGTGGAGGTCACCACAACCATTCGCGCTCAAAAAAAAAAAAAAAAAACATTCAGCGCCAGCAGCCGGCGAGTCTGCGTCAGGACTGGCTGAGTCTGCAGCGTTTTGTCTTACATTGAAAGTGTGTCCTGAGCACACATTGAATAAAACGGAACCTTTGCTTGAAAGCAAAATAAAGAAACACAGCTTGCCGCTACCAAACCATCATGGGCGATGCTACCAAGTGTGACTCGCTGCTCGCCCCTCGTTTTCACCGGGTAACAAAAGAACAAAAAGAACAAAAGAAACGCGCTGTGGGAGTGTAGTGTGTGGTGGGCCATCCACCTCTCTGCAAGTGCAGCTGGTTTGCGCAGCGTCTCTGTCTTCGCTTTGATTTCAGTCCCAACCAGGGGTGCTGATCTCAGCGCTTTGTGAGTGTCTCTTTCTCTTTGTCTCTCTTGCGGTCTGTCTCTCGATTGGGTCTCGGTCGCTCAGGTCGGCGAGCGCGAACACTGGCCGAGCTGCCGCTGCCGTTGCCGCTGGCCTGCTGGGCGGCCATCCATGCGACTCCTGGACCTGCTCTCGCTTGATTTGGTCAACTGCCCAGGGATAAGGGAGGGGAGAGGGTGGTCATTGGTCTGGCTGGGTCCAGTGTCGTGTGTTGTCTTTCTGTTGTTTGTGTTGTCGTGCTTGATTGAGTCAAGTCAGCGTTGGTCGCTCCTGGCAGCCCCAGCCACGGCTTTGTGCAGGCTTGGAAGAGTGCACCGCTGCGTGAGAGTAAGAGGGCCCGAGGGGAAAGGAGAAAGTGGGAGGGAGAGCGATGGTGAGAGCGATGGTGAGAGAGATGGTGAGAGTGGGAGTGCGTGGGCGCATAGGATGAGATAGCGACGGAGCGTGGGGGTGTGAGCGCGCGCGAGAGAGGGCGAGAGAAGCCGGGAGACGTGGTTTAGGGTCAGGTCTGCCTTGTTATAAGCGGGCAGCAGCAGCCGTGGTGGTGGTGGTGGTGGTGGTGGGGTTGTTGTTTTTGGAAGTGTCGTGTCAAGTTCTCGCTCATGGTGCTTTTGAATCTCAGCTTGCTGGCTGGCTCATCCCGAGCTTGCTGGTTCTGATGCTTTTCCATAGACCAGATCAGGTCAAGCTGTGGGAGAGGCTCACGCGCCGAGCGCGAGAGCCATCCTTGATGTGCTGTTGACTGTTTTACAGTCACTTGTTTTTTTTTTTCGCTTCGCGTTCTCCCCGCGGGAGACGCGTTGCACCGGCTGGGCCGGCCGGGTATCGTGCGAGTTATTCTCTCGCAACCATCATCTTCAACAACCTTCGCTGCCAAATTCTTGCTCGTGCTTTCTGTAATACACTACGCGACAGCGCCTGGCTCCACATACAGGGCACAACCGAACACCATGGCGTACGACCCCAACCATGAGGATAAGCTGGATCATGAATCCGCCATGCGGATGGTAGATTTCATCACCACTGATCTGCACGGCTACGACGGCCAAGCCGTAGAAACCGAGACCTCACAGGGAGCGAGCGGGGGTGCTGCTCCTACTGCCGGCTTGGCAGCCACCTCCAGTGCCAGCGCGAATAATGTGAGTTTCTTTCTTCACAGCCCTCGCGTACTTGCACACGCGTTTTGTGTTGTTTGTCTGAGACTGTGAGCTCACGTCTATTTTTTGCAACGCTGCCCTGCCTACCTTTAATGTAGGGAACCTACGTGCCCGGGGACAAGGGAATGGGCACACGCGTGCCGCCAGAAGCCGTCGGCGCGGCCAATCCCGGCAGTGGCCGCCCCCCACCCTTACTGCAACGACCGGGCAACTTGTTGAAGGACCTGTATCGGGAGGAGCGCTTCAGCTTCTTGGAATACGACAGCCCCCCTGATGCATGGGCCAGCTCGTCACTGGGCCACGACGCTGAGCCCAATGCCAGCGCCGGTGCTGGCCACGTGTATGATTGGTCGCACTCATTGCCTGCCTCAGCCATTCCATTACACGCGGAGGAATACTTTGCCATGCGTCCACCAGGCAGTGCTAACGACGTCGAGGCTGTGCCCAGCCCGACCTTGCCCAATGCCAATGCCAAGACCAGCAGTAGCCAAGCCGCTCAAAACGCGGCAGCCTCAGCCCGCACGCTGCAACGCGTCGCTTCGGCCGTGGTCAGTCTTCTGGAGACGTCTGCCAATCATCCGGAGGTTTACCAACAGCAGCAGCTGTATGACGGCTACGTCAGCTTTCTGTCCGTGGCCAAGTACATCCCGGATTGTCCTGACCTCAACACGCTGCGATTGGCCGTCAACACGTCCACCCTGCTCCGCGTGCGCCCCGATAAGCTCGCCGTGCGCCTTCGGGCCAACGAGGATCCCAGCATGGAGTCGGCCGCTGCCGCTGCTGAGAACGCTGCTGCCCTCAGTCAACAATTTGCTGGCATGACAATGCATCCGGGCGCCCCGCCCACCACAGTCTCCAGCGCAACTGGTGGCGCTGGTTTCAACAAGGGCCACATGAATTACCCGCCACCCTCTGCCCCACCGCTGGGCATGGGCACGGCTGGTGAAGTGACCGACACTTTCCGGGGTCACATGCGCCGAGGCAGCGCTGGCGGGTACGAGACAGCTACTGCCGATGGTGGCGCTGGTTCAGGCAACGCCTTTGAATTTTACCAAAACATGCGCTCCTGGTCCAACCCAGTCGGAGAGCCCGGTGCTCCCAACGACGTGGACATGCGTTATCTCTCTCTCCAAAACCCCATGCATATGCGCCGCCAGCAAGGCAAGAGCGGGGCTGGTCGTGTCCCAGGTGGGGCAGGTGGTAACGGCCCCATGGGGAGCATGGTGGGCATGGGCCCCGGAGGGCCCGGTGGTATGGGTGGACCGGGTGTCGGGGGCGCACCTCCGTCGCCTGGACCCGGTGGCATGGGCGCTGCGGGCCGCGGGCACGCCAACTATCCGCATGCAGGCAATGCAATGGGTCCTGGTGGTCGTGGGGCGCGCGATGTTCGCAACGCTGTCTCAGCCTCTTCCCCCGGTTCGCCAGGACTGGGCGCCACCAGTAACAATGTCTTGTTTACCGACTCCTTTGGTCAAAAGTACATGTTGACGCCCGTGGGCGCGCAAGGGCGTGGTGCCTCGCTGCACGACCGGCGCATGCAGTCGAATCAACAAGCTTTCAAGCAACGTTTTATGAATGCACAGGGCGTGAACAGTGCCGATGCAAACGTTCCACGGACCCTGTCCAGCCCGCAATTGCTGCTTGAAGCCAATGTCACAGCAGCTGGGATGGAGAGCCCGCAAGGCTCCCCACTGCTCCGTGCGGGCATGGGGGAGACGGGCCCCGTGGCGCGGCGCAAGCCCAAGGTGTGGGCCGAGCAGATGGCCGACGAGGGCATTGTGCCTACCGATCGCGATCTCTGGTGCTTTATGAAACAGATCCGCCTGCACAAGTATACTCGCCTCTTTCTCGGCAAATCTCTGTATGTCCTTCCTGGGCGCGTGCTTCTTTCCGATTTATCTGTTTCCGTCGGCGCTACGCCTGTCCGCACTTGTCTCACACAACCCTGCTCTGCCCAACTTGGGTTTTTTTTTGGTAATCGTCAGCACTGAGATGCGCCAGCTCACTGACGACGACCTTCGCATCTTGGGCCTAACGGAGGTGAGTTCTCAAGCCTGGTATTATTCTATCTCGGTGCACGCACTGCTACGAGCTGGATCTTCACTTTTGTCGACCCCTGCTCATGAATTGCTGATGGTCAACGACCACACGCTCTTGTGTGAACGCTGCAGGGTGCGCGCCGCAAATTGATAACGGAGCTCTTTATGATCCCTGATAAGGCCAAGACGTTTCCTCGTAACCTTCACAAGTCTCGGTAGGTATCTCATCCCAGAGAGTGGACTGTATGTGTGTTGCTGGTCCCCAAGCTGCTGTTTCTGCAATGATATGCTCACGACGTGATACGCATTGGTGCTCATCACGGGTGGGACATTTCTTTTTTTAGGTACGACAAGCTCAACGAGGCCATTCGTAGCGGCACGGCCCCGTTCATTCCGCCGGAGGAGCCGGGCCGCGTGCCGCCCAGCCATCAACGCCAACAGGCTATTTTGCAAGCCGAGCTTGCTCACAAGAGTGACTCTGAGGATGATGGAGATGAGAACGAGGAGGGCGAGTCCATGGCCAATGAGGAGCCTCAAGCTGCGTCCCCGAAGCAGACGGCCGAGCTGACTTCATCCAACGAAGCGTATTGAGTAATGCAAGAGGCGGGAGACCCAAACTTTACACACTTCGTCCACTACGTGCAGGCTTGTGCCGTTTCGCAAAACGTGACGGTTCCCTCTATGTGTGTTTACGTCTTGTTACGACACGAGCTATGCTAGGTTGCTCTTCTGTTTCCCCCCTCTTTCTCTCTCTCTCTCTTTTTATCGTTTGGGGATTCATCCTCCTTCCTTTCTTCTCTCGCTTGCTTCTCTTCTTGATCCCTCCATGTGTCCTTTCTTCAGCTGTCCTTTTGATTTGGCTTTCCTGGTTCTGTTGCTTCTGCTAGCCTTTTTTTTTTTTTTTTTCATGCATGGTGTGTTTGTGAGCGCCGCCACGCGATGACTCTCACCCCTGCCCCCAAGCGTTTTTTGCCTTGCAACGATCCGCCACCGCACCGCGTGGCGTGGTTGTTGACCCAAGACCTTGGGGGCGCGTCGGTGTGAGCCATGCACTTTGCAAGTCTGTCCGAGCGGCGTGCCGCCGGACTCGCGTTGCTCATCCCGTTGCCCTCTGCTTGCCAAGCAAGCGTTGCTACGGGCGTACATGCCGTTGCCGTTGCTTTTCATGGTTTTTTTCTCTCTTTTCCTTTTTGTTTGTGGTCATGGGCTGGACCCTTTTTCTTCCTCTCCTTCCCACACCCTTCCTCCTTCGTTGGTTCCGCATCGATGGTACACGCACAATCAAAAACTTGGTGTCCAATCTTTTTCCGGTCTGTGCGCGGCCTTGGCCAGGGTTACATGTGTAGAATATTAGGGTGAACGTTGCGCATGCAGGTTTGGGTAGTGTGATGGCACATCGGGAAGAAGACGAAGAAAATGAGGTATTTGCTGCACCGTAGTAAGGCTCGGCTTGCTTCGACTTGAAGTTGATGTTGAAGAAACAGTAAAAGCGGTCTTGCTGAAGCCAACAGAGGGGATCGATGGCGTTGTTGATGCCAGTGGTTTCTGGAAGAAGCTTTCACGGCTGGCGGTGCGATCAGGCTTGGCAGAAAGGGCAGCCATGCCCATCATAGCAGCAGGCATCGTGACGATCACCTTCAGCACCGCCATCACTCATGTCTTTTACCGTTTCAAATTTTTCAAATTTTATACACCGCGGTCGGTGGCGGTTCCGTTGTCCCAATTCACCTGTCAACTCGATGGTTCGTCAGAGGCTGAACCCCAAATCTCCCCCTACACGATATCAAACGACTCCCACGACGCAACACTGTGCACCACCCATCGACAAGATCAGTTTGTGGCGCGATTTGTGGTAAAGGGGACGAGAGGGTGACATCTTGGCGATGATTGCAAAGGTGTCGCAATTTCTCACCAGCCCCGTCATCATCATCACCACAACCAGCACCGGCACCAGCACCAGCACGAGCACCAGCACCAAGACGAGCCAGCCGCAGCCCCATCACGTCTTGTCACAATCAGCCCTTCAACCGTTGGTACTCTCCTTATTCGTTCCTCATCATCACATCACAAGACATTTCAAAGGAGCCCTACCATTGATCGTATACAAAGGGTGCCCCCTTACGGATCGTGAGTGAGTGACCGTGTGATTATTATTGTGACAGTGCTGGACTCGGAGACGTCAAGGCTTGGTCTGCAAGATCACCACCACCACCACCACCACCACCACCTCTCCTCTCAGGTTAGATCATTACCCATTCATCATCACCCATCACCACGCGCCCGACTGTACATCGTCGAGCATCCTACCACCCGCGCTGCCATTTTCCAACCTCTGCGTTTTACATCTCTTGTTTCTCGCTCCTCTCTTTAAAATAAAAAAAAACTGATTGACGCGTTCCACAAAATAATTATTTTTGACTTTCCACACACACACACACACACTGAACTGACTGACTCTTGCTCCTCAACGCTACACACACACAGACACACGCACGTCGACGACGTTGGACGGACTGTAGATATCCTGCTCGGGCATCGCCATTGTTTGCCGTTGTCGTTGCTGTGTCAAACCGTCAACCGCTTCTTCATCCATCACGCAGCAGCTGGCCGTTGCTCTTTGGATTGTTCGCAAGACTGTCGCTGGTTGGCAGCGCCGTCAATCAGACCAATCTTTTTGATGGACGCTGCAGTCGCGGTGCAACCCAGCATGATGTTGGGCATCTCTCCCGCTGATCCGTTTGTACGCGAGTGCGATGTGCGGGATCGCCGATGCGCCCATGCTCTCAACTGCGAAACCATTCCCGAAGCCTTGCGCAGGTCAGGCCTCAGCCCCGCCAGTCCCGCGTCGTGCGCGGCGTTCCTTCGCTCAGCCCCTCCGCGCTCGTTGCCTCTCTTTTCTTGATTCTCTTGCTGTGCTAATATTGCCCTTGCTTGCACTTGGAGGGTCTAGGTTTCATCACACGGAGCACTTCTTCCCAGAAATTAGCCGCGGCTCCTGTCGCAAGTGTCCCAAGAATCAATGTACCCACAGCACCTCCTTCTTCAACTCGACAGACAACTCCAAGCGCCGCGTCTCCACGCACCTCTTTTGGAAGCGCATCTTGGGAACCAATTCGCTCGTGTCAGACCAGCTGCTCAAGGTGTCGTGGTCGCTGCTTGAATCCTGTTCTCATGGCATCCGGTATGTACAGCGCAAAGGCTTTCACGCCGCTAGCGCTGCAAGCACCGTACAGGTGACGTGACTTGATGTTGCCCCCGCAACTCTGATCACCCGACTCACCATGGGCATGCTTTTTACACGACAGCGGAAACGGTCAAGCGAAACAGGGTGCCGGCCAGCCCATCTGCGTGAACCCCTTTCACTACGCACTGCCGGCCAAGCCTGCGCTTGAGCTGACAGAGGCTTTACAGGAATTGTGCCGCACCATTCAACTCCAGGTGTGTGTGTGTGTGTGTGTGTGTGTGTGTGTGTGTGTGTGTTGCCCGTTTGCCCAAGGCTTGATTGGACTTCTGCTGGTCAACGCTCACTGCAACGCACTTGCTCGTATCTGCGGCTTGCGCCATGTGCACAATCATTCCTAGAACGTTGCACCATTGCCCGATGACATGGTTACCTTGGTCAAGCTTTTGCGGCAGGCGTTTCAGGCTGAGCGCGACGAGACATGGCCTGCTGATCAGGACAGAGACGTCGCCGCACCAGCCGGAGCTTCTTCCTCGGGTGCTGTTCCCCCAACCGCCACGACTGGCGGTATGCATTTCCAGCCACAAAGCCAGGCGGGCGTCGACGGCAACGGTACCAATCTCATGTTTTTTTCCCTGACACAACCCTCGGGCAACCCCGGTCTTGGAACAGGCAACCTGCCTTGGGGTCAGTCCACTGGTTGGCTGCAGCACCAGGGCTTGCAGCCCATGCCACAGGCCATGCAAGTGCCACAACACTATCAGGCTGGCCCGCCCACGGTCCAGTTCCAGCCCCCACCTTCCATGGCTGATGCCCGGTGGGCTTCTTCACAAGCCCCCATGGCCACACATGGCTATGGCGACTCAACAATCATGATACAGCCAAGCCAATTCGGCACCATGTCTGGTGGCAGCTCTGACAACGCTCACGGCCCGGCTGCCTCCCCCAATTGGACCACCAACAAGGCTGACGCTTGGAGCTTGGGCATGCCACCCGGATCTTCGTCCAATGTCGATGCTAAACCAGACATCAAGGGTGTCGCGGCGCACGCCTCACCACAGATGCCTCGCAACAGCCGTCTCAGCGACGACGTTGATCTGAGCTTTTCTCAAAACATGCAGCCCCACGATGACTCATCATGGGCCAACTACCCGCAATCTGCCATGGACCCTGATGTAGAGGAAAGCCATGCCGATCACATGAACGACCTCAGCTCGCGGCTGGGTGCCGCCGACTGGGAGGGCGTCGTGAGCAGCAGTCGCGTCTATCCCCTGCTTGAGGGTCCTCAGTTTGATGCAGCCTCTTCGACTTCTGGCTTGGTCGAGGGTGCAGCGCGGCGTTCCGCAGGCGGCATCTTGCTCGCTGACGTAAGTTGCGACACATATCACAGCAGTGAAGGTGCAAGCCCTGCTGAAAGCATCAATATGCATTTTCTCTCGGGTGATCGTCGGTATATGAGCTCATCACCTTTCTTATCGTCTTCGGTGTTTTGTGTGCCCGTGTCGTTCACAGCCGCGACAATTTGGTCCAGGGGGTGTTTCCCCGTACTCACAAGAGTCGGATGCTGCTGAAGGCATGGACCTAAGCGAGGAGGACGTTTCTAATCTTACACGAGTCAGTGGTCTTGATCCTTGCCGCTCTGCTATTTTCGTGTCATGTGTCTCGCCGCCTTGCTGATGTTTGGTGACACAGACTCACAACTGGCGTGTCAAACGCCTGCTCTCGTGACTTCAGGTAGCCATGATTCCCAGCGCCGAGGACAAGAGCATGAGTTCTGCTGTGAGTAGACAATCCCCTTCTGCTCTTGTTGATACAACCCATTCAGGTGACACAGCAGCAGCATCCGCGGGATCATCTTGTCGAACTGGGCGCCAGAGCACAGCCGCTGTGGCGCCGAGTTCGTCCTTGGCCAAGTCTTCGCAGTCGCAGTCGCAGTCGCAGTCGCAGTCGCAATCACAGCCACAGTCGAAGCGGTCAAAGCTTGCGACCTCGGCTCCCAGCTCCACAGATGTGGGCAAGTCGAGTCCCTCGTCTTCGCAATCATCGCCAAAAGGCTTTACGCCTCTGCAACCGCTACCTTTGCAGCAACAGCTCCAACAACGACCTTCGTCGTGTCGTCAAGGATCCTGTGACCGCTCGCTACACCACTTGATGCAAGCTCCCATGCGCATTCCGGCCAGCAACACAGCCAGCGACGGAGGCTCCCCGGGCAGTGGCGTCAAGCGCTTCAATCAAGGGGCCGAGGATCGACCGCCTCGCGCTCAGCGGCCCTCCAACAAACGGCGTACAGTTTCTCGTGGTGACACAACCGTTGAACCACCGGTCTCTGATCCTGTGAAGCGCATCAAGTCTGCCATCGACATTCATGCTGCTTGAATGCTTTCAGTGCCGAAAGCTCGAGTGTGGCGTTTTTGTATTTCCTCGCCAGTTTGAAAATTATCATGCATCGGACATGACCAAACTTAACCTTTTTGTGACGACTGCGGCTGCCCCTTTGCGACTGCGGCTGCCTGTGACTGACTTCAGAGGCCGGACAAATCTGATTTATCGACAGTGTAAATGATTATGGACTTATATTTTGGACTTTCCTTGGACATGCAGACTTTTCCAGATTGTGTCGTGCGTTGCTGACTTTCAGAGTATTTATATTTGCACCCGTATGTCTGTGGACATGGTGGATCCGTGGACACGGAGTCGTGGGTCCACCATGCCACGCGGTCATTCTTGTTGTCCTCGTGTTCCTTGTGAACAAATCGAGACTTTTGGTTTTTTCTTTCCCTGGCCTGATCAACTGTGATGACGAGAGCTACCTCGGCTCGAGCTCGAGCCCGGGTGCTTCTCCTTGTGTTGGCTTCTCGGATGTTGTGTGTGCTGTGATTGTGACCAGTTTTGCCACACTGCCTGTCACATGGCACAACACGGCAGCGGACACTTTGTGATTCATGACAAAGTGTTTCGCTCATCGTGTTGGGCTTGCCAGCGCGGCCAACTCCAGGCCAGCGTCTTTGTGCCTGCGAATGCGTTGTCACGACATGTTGCGCTGCATACATCGTCATGCTCTGCCCTCACGCTCACTTCAACTCACATCTTGTGCCTTTCGCACTCACCTTGTTCGCCTGGGCCTCTCCTTTTCAAGTTCAAAGACGCTCAACTCATCCTGGGGGTGTTATCTCTTTCGTTGTATCCGACTGGTTGCATTGGCAGGATGAATTGTTTTCCTCGCTTAGTCCCGTGGTCTGCCGGCACTGCCGTTGTGGCGCCATGTGTATTGACGGTAAACTTTGATCATGCATGGCTGATACGCCACATTTGCGTTCAGATTCATAGCTTGTTTGTCACGTTGACTGCACTTAGGTCAAACCGTCATGTGCAATTGCGGGCGCAAAATGGAGCCGGCCTTTATGGGGGCTGATCAAGCTTACATCTTTCCCAAAGTCTGCGCTAAAAGGTTTGTGGCTGTAGTTGCTTTTGTTTTGGGGAAGGGGGGGCGGGGCTTTGCTTTATCCACAGTGTGTCGGTTGCACTGTGGATATAGCAGATGGCATCGGGGAAGGGTTTGCGCTCGCGTTGTGCTATTGACTCGCTTTCATACGTGCTCTTGTAGCGAGTTTGAGGAGGGCGAAGTAGTGGGTTTGGTGCCTCGTGGCCAACTTCTCTGGATCCATGCGCTTTCTGAGGACAATGTACAAGAGGCAGTGCTCTGCGGTGTCATCACGCGTTCAGCACATACACTGTACGTAAAGCCGTCTTGGGTTTGTGATGTTCTTCCGCAATCCCCTGTTGCAGTTGCACGTTGTCGCTCATCTTGCGGACGGTAAAATTTCATAGAGTTAATGGGGCAGCAATCGGACGATTGCTGGATCAAGAGGGCACCAAGTCCAGGCATGCCTCGTCCTCGGGAGCTGCTGATGATGACAGGGAGGATACTAAGAGAAGCGCACAGGAAGTTGTGCCCAATTCTTCAAGCAATGATGACAACAACAATCGCTCCACAGTGCGTGGTGGCAAAAACGCGACTCAACAAAGTAATCACAGCAAGAGTAAACAGCAAGCCGATGACGGCAAGGGCGAGACGAATGCACTGGAAGCGTCGGCGCAAAGCTCTGCTGGCAAGTCTGTGTTTGAAGTTCACGATCAAGAACGAGTAGCCCTGGACATGATTTGTCTTTATGGGTACGTGCGTTCGTGCTCAAGTGTCTGAGCTGGAGCTTTTCGAGACGAGAGGTGCGCCGCCACAGCCGATCACAGCTCAATATTCCACTTGTTGTGTGCGCTAGGATTATCGGGGTCAAAATTTCGGGTCCTGTATCAAAGGGCGATTTGGTCTTTGCCGCCACCGGCCCGGGGTTGTGCGGTGTAGCTGTCGCGCAGAGCCAACCTCAGCCTGGTGCCGTCTTGCTGGGCAAGGTGGTCGAGGATATTGACGACGACACAGATGCAGTGCGCAGTGTCAAGTGTTTCGTTTCTCTCAATAATAACGTCGTCGGTGACATTCACAACAATCTTCTGGGCCGGATTCGCCAGCGCCTTCATGACTCGGTTCGTCAAATGTCCCTTGCTTTGCTGCTTGGCATGAGGCTGGGAGGGAACGTGCTTCTGAATTTGTTTACCTCTGCTCTTTTTTCTTTTCATGGTCAATCGCTGGCGTGTAGCTGTTGGAAGGTCGGCGTCACCTGCTCGAAGGCGCGGACGATCTGGCTGAACTGCAAGACGACGTAAGTTGTGCGTATGTCGACTCATCTGAGCACCTTTTTATTTTACTTGTGCATGGTGCCGTCTCGTTTTTTTCGACAGATTGAGGCACTGAGTACTGAGATGAGCCAGCACCACGCCACAGCACGCCGTGTCGGACGTATGTTTGGCGCGATTGGCATCAGTGGTTTGAGGCAATATTATGCGATACAGGGCTCGCTCTTCTATTCATGTGTGATGTGCGTGCATTGTGCATGGGGGTTCGTATTTGGTAGGCAGCAGCGGCTGGACACGAGTTCGTTCATTGAAAGATGGCATGCAAGTCATCTTGCAAGTTCGCGCATCCGATATGATTGTTCAGCCGCCGGTCGCGGTAGGCCCGGCTACCGACGAAGGAATGATGTAGACGGCATTGAAATTCTTGGGATGGGTTGTTGTTCTACTCGATAGCCTGCTTACCCTTTTTGAATTGCTGTGTTAGGGGCAACATACGCCATTTGCTTTGGCCAAGCACAATAGCAAGCGTCATCGATTCTTGGTCGAAACTGTCAACGCTTCTGCTCAACAATACCGGTACGATCCCCTCCTCCAAGAGTGCATAATTGGTTGGCATAGTGCGTTGGCTCAATGTGCATGTGCATGTGCATGCGCACACCGGTACAACATTCTCGCAGTTTGGTCAGAGTGGAATCTGTGGGTTGCAAAGAAAAACGGATGAGTGCCGCCGCTCGCCAGGGTCGGTCCATTTCAACCACGGAGCAGGAAGCGCAGGAACCTGATGAGCGGTCATGTTCCGGTTCACCCGTCCAACAAAGGAGACGGTGTCTCGTGCTCCATAATAACCAGCCTGAGTTGGTGGTCGACGATGGCTCGGAGGCGATGGTGTTGACCATTAAGCCAGCTTTTGAGAGTAGTCCTGAGCATGATGCCGCTGCCAAGGAAAAAGGTTTGTACCCTGTCAAAGCTGTGCTATCCATCTCCAAAGAATGGCCCAATAGCACTAGGCATGTCGCTTTCGTGGGTCTTGATTCTCAGATTTGTTTTTGTCTTGATTCTCGTCAGGTGCCTGCTTTTTTATCCTGCAGCAAGGCGAATCCTTGATTGGCTTTAATCTTGAGGGGTTTCCACTTGCGCTGCCAAGGAGCGAGCACACCAAAAGCTGTGTTCAGTTTGCTCTATTCACGTTGCGAGAGCATCCGAGTGAGAGCCACGCTGTTTCGCGCTTATCGACTGCGTCGCGCGGGTCGATGAAACAGGTTAAGCGCTCTGGTTCAACGTCGAGTGCTGCAGCGCCTGTCGAGCGAACCCGCTCTGCTCCCATGGATAATGGATCCACGTCTGGTCCGAGCAAAGGTGCACCACAGGAACTGACCCAACGCATCATGGATCGCATCAGCGAAACTGAATCTTGTCTGCGGGATCATGCTGGCCACATGGCGGACATCATTCGCTCTGAATCACCCTCTGATGCCACCAGCAGCGAAGTGACCAGTGCACTCTCGATGCAACAACCGCGTTCACGATCGCGGTCCCCGTTGCCCCGAATTGTCAGCTCTAGCAAGGACAAGGGATGGACAGCAACACGTAAGTTTTGTGCCGCTTGTTGGAGGTCGTTCGCGCACATTATCTTGACTTGCTATCTCGTTCATCGCTCTGTGGGATGCAGGGAACGGGTCGGTCTCTTCAACATCCTCGGGTGCCCTGGGTGGGTCAGCTTCGCTGCATGCATTTTGTTTTGCGCACGCCGACGGCAATCGGCCCGTTCTGGTTACGGGCACACCAGTCACCAGCGTGCACCCACCTGAAGGTACGTTTGGCGCTCGATTGGGCCGTGAACATGCACAGCCAGAGCCACACATCCCCTTTCAACACATGTGAAAAGTCGACACAGAATCCAGCTCATGAACGTATCGTCATGACCGCCATGGCACAATCAAACTGCGCAGAGTTTCCTTGGAGTGCGCCAGTCTTTGCGGTTACGGCTGCCACGTCAGGCGACTTGGACTTTGATGTGTATGCAGTCAGCGAGGCTGGGAGTCCGTCAGACGACAACATGGTCGCGGGGGACGTGGCGCGCGAAGCTTTTCGACTCGATGGCCAGGCGTTTGGAGAGGAGGGTCCCAGCTATAATCTCCTGATTCCCCCGGCCATGCGCATCATGTGTTTATCCTCCAGCGAGAACGAATGGCGTCACCTCAACAATGCAGTTGTGTTGACGGCTTCGGCAGGGCTATTTGTGACGCCCCGTGAGCACCATTCACACCCATCCACTGCCTCCCACCCTTGATCCTAAAAGCCCCATGCCTGCCTCTGAGTGAATCGAGACCGAGTAATCAAACCACCCATAGTGAACTTCAAAATACCTCCACATTCATGTATCTCCTACCAAACATCGCAGAACCGAAAGCCCACACGAGTTGTCAGAAAGAAGATGTCATCATTTTCTGCTCGTCTCGACTCGTGCGTGTGGACCTCTTTCTTGCTTTGAATTGAAGAAGCCGACCATGGCAGCGGTGGGCCAGGAGCAGAGTCGTGGCGCCGGCACGGGGGGCGCTGCACCATCGCGAACCTTGCTGATAGAGTTTGCCAGCAATCATGTGGATTTTCGGTTGCCGGAGCTGGAAGCAGTGTTGGATATGCTGCGGCTTGAGGTCGACTTGGACCTCAGCACTTACAGCCACGAGGTTGGTTGTTGTCGCCTCGATTCGTGTCCGTGACTGAGCCGCTGGGTGTTCTGATGCGCAGGATGGGGTTACGCCTTGCAGACTCCTTTTCTGCTTGCTAGCACGCGGCATTCCGATGCGGAATTATCTGGAATCGCACAGCGCTGTGTCGGGATGGCATACATGGGCGAGCTGATTGCTCAGGGCGAGAACTGGGAAATGCTGGTTGAGGTCGCCCTCCGCGACCGCGTGACGGTAATAGCCTGCTGCTTCAGCACACGCCAATATCGCAGAGTAACCGGAGTTTTGATCGTTTCCGGGGCTGCTGCAAAACCTGATATATTCCCACTTGCTTGGCGCCCCTCCTCCGTCGTGTCCTTCATGTTTCAGGATGAGCTGCCCAGCGGGCGCTTTAAGTTTGAAATCATGTCATACAACAAAAAGCTGGTCAAGGCCCGCAAGATGCACATCTTTGAGGTGCTTGCTTGGTGAATGACGTTCTGATCACCCCCTCCATCCTATTTTTCCTTCCTTGAATGGCATGTCTCGTTGTCTCCCCTGCTATTGCGACCCATCTTTATTCCCGCCATAGACCATGGCACCGCTGGCAATACCCGGCGCAGTGGATCTTCATGACCCCGAAATCAGGTATCTGGCCGTCGAGGACTATGGGCGCAAACATATGAGTGCGCCCGATGCACCGCATCGTGTGTTCTGGGTTCGACAGGTATGGGGGCCGCTTGAAGCCGATGACTCTGCGACCGACTGACGCAAGTCATGAGCAAAGTTCAGGCGCCTCGCGCTCATTTTTTTCCCCCCTTTCCCTTGCTTCCCAGATTGCCACCGGCCGCCGTGATTTGATGCGCGCCTTTGATCTCAAAACAAGAAACATGATTGGCAACACAAGCATGGACCCCGAACTGGCCTTCTTTATGGCTAACATGGTCCAGGTAACACCGCCCTCGTCGATGCGTCTGTCAGACTCACGCAGTCGTTGGGCCAGCTTCGTGTACGTGTGACCTCTGGCTTACGGCTGCTGCTGCTATCTTCCTACCCTATATGGTGTGGGCGTGTGCTTGCGTGTGTGCATGCGTGTGTGGTGCGATTGACCCAGGCTCAGCCAGGGACATTGGCGTACGATCCTTTTTGCGGCACAGGTGAGAGATGGTTGAATGAGTCTATTGCTGAGTATATGCACTGTCCATGACGCTGACAATTCAATCTGGCTGACCTTGACGTAACAATTGGCCGTTTGCAGCAAGCTTGCTCGTTCCCGTAGCCTACTTTGGCGGCATGACCATGGGGTCGGATATTGCGTTTCAGGTTTGTTGGCAGCGAAAGATCAATGGTTGATACCCATGATCCGGCGACACAGGGGTGCCTGACACTCCCACGCACATCCACACAGGTAGTGCATGGCGTTGGCAAAACATCGCGACAGGGCACAGGATCTAAAACTCGAGGCAAGTGCCGGATCGAATGCCTACAAGACACGCTGCCATGGTCAAGCGAAACAGGGCCAAGACTAACCTTTTTTCCTGCGCGTCGTGCATGATCAAGCCGCGCTTAGGTCCCAAAGAGAACATCCTGGCCAACTACGAGCAGTATGAGCTCTTGGATAAGTTTGGGGATGTGCTGGTGGCCGATGCAGCAAACCCCAGCTTTCGCCAGGACATTTTGTTTGATATGATCGTCGCTGACCGTAAGCGGAGACTCGCATTCGCAACCATGCCATTATCCTGCTCCTCGCAAGATCCTTTGCGTTGACATGTCGTGCCATTGTACATGCGTGTTGTGGTGGTTATTGGCAGCACCCTATGGCATTCGTGAACCGGCCCGGCGGATTGGAGCAAAGGATTCGCGCCCCGTCCCGGAGGAATTGTATGTCCCTTCAAAGTAGTCCTGGTCTGGAGCACCACGGAACCGGTCTGGTTTGGTCTGATGCAACTCTTACGCGTTCTGATATTTTGCGTAGCCGTGACAACCGTTTTCCGCGGTCCAAGCAATATGGGTTGGGGGCTGTCTTTACCGACCTGATCTCCTTCGGCGCCCATCGACTGGTGCTGGGGGGTCGTCTCGCGTTCTGGATGCCCGAGGCCCTGGCAGAAGAATTTGTGGTTTGTCAAGTTTGAAAAGTGCAACTGGCGGGGCTCCGCAGCTATTTCGTTGCCCAGTCATTTGGCTCCCGCCGTGCTTTGTAGGTGCCAGCGCATCGCTGCTTCGAGGTCAAGGCCGCCTGTCAGCAGATCCTGAATCGCAAGCTGGCCCGCCGACTCGTTGTCATGGCCAAGGTTGCTGAACCCGATGCGAGTGAGCCGGAGGCCGTCGGGCTCAATGCAGAATGGGGTGTTCGGCACCATGTTTTTGTCAATGATGCCACCACGCGACAACCCGGGGAGCCTTCCCCATAAAAACTTCCTCTTCTTCGCCATGGCACAAAAAAATCAAAAAAATCGGCTCTTTCGCGCAGTGCTTGCATGCACCCATTCGTGCTAAATGTCAAACGAATGCTAGACGACAAAAATTAAAAAAAAGGGCACACAGCTCCACAAATCCATTTCAGATGTTGCTGTGGCTCTCATCGCCCTCTTTGGCACGACACACCAAAACGCGCGTGCGGGGATTGGAAAGGCGCCTGTGGAGCATTTCGTGGGAAAGGGGGTAGAGCAGGTGAAGCTCAGCAGCGGTGCCATTCTCGAGCGTGTCTGAATTGATGCACATGATGACGCCCGCAGAGGATGCCGACCGACTCGTGGCCAGTGTTGCCGCCTCCAAGGCGAGTGGGCAGCAGGTCGTGCAGCTCTTGCAGGAAATATCTCAGCATGGTGCGTCAAAGGCGCGTCGTCCAAATGTGTGCCACGCAGGGCTTTTCCTCACCCCACAGCATGTTCTTCACGTTTCACCACATCTGGTTGAAGGCACCGTTCGCAGCCTCGATGGGTACAACGACCTTTTGCACACCTTGGAGGCCCTGAGTCCGTTGCAAGAGGACATGGAACGCAACCGCCAAGCGGTGCAGGTGCGCCGCGCCATGCAGCCGCCCTAGCTCAAGCCTGAAAAACCGGATTTTACTTTTAAACGTGACTCGCAGGACCTATGCACATCCCTTCGCCAAAACGCTGCCTCTCTTGCACAGCAGCTTAATTATACCATGGTGAGACTACGCGATCGACCTGCAGCTTGTGCCAGCCCTCTCGAGCAACTCCAACTCTCAAGGATCGATCGCCGGTCGTGTTGTTCTTAGCGCTTGATCTGCGAGAGTGAGGGTTTCAAGGCCATTCAGTCACAAGCTGTGGCTCATGCTCAGCTGCTCGAGTCGGCGGATCGCGGTAAAACCGAATATGTGCAAAGGTAAGGCCAGCATGATCTCGCGCTTGCGTGGGATGTCAAGACGGCGCGTCATCAAATGATGGCACGCACGCGCGTGAGCGCAGATGCAAGGAGCTTGCTGATCTGCTCGGGGAGGCTGGTTCAGCTGCAGCGGGCGACCACCAAAAGCGTGTGGCCAAGGTTGGTCGTGACGAAGCTACAAGGTCATTTGATGACAAGATTTAAGCAACCATGGGCCACGACTCACATGCGTGTGTGCAATTGCTTCAGGCAAAATCAAGGGCTGACACCAGTGAACGTGCGTATCGAGACACTGCTTTGAACTTGGCTCAAGCTCGGACTGCTTTGATGGACGCGATGAACCGGGTTGCTGCCGTACGTGTCAATCCGAACTTGTCTCATGTTTACTGCAATGTTATTGTGAGTGAAGCGTTCGAAATGTGAGCTCATGCATCAATCCACACGGGATGTGTGGCTTCCCAGACGGTCGAGGAGGGCTTGCAAATGAACAAGCGCCACATGTCAGCCAGCGTGCTGGCCGCCCTCCAGGGCTTGTCTCAGGTCAGCAGAGTGCGGAGTGCGGCCCAACGTAGCCACAGCTACTGCCCTGGCCATGCTGATCTGGCAAAAGAGCTTGTCTTGTCTCACAGCGTTGCAATCGGCGTCTGTGTGCTTGTCGTTCCGGTCTATATTTTAGTATCACGAGCGCCAAAGAATGGCGTTGGAGCGAGCCATTGACGGGCTTTTAGCGGCAGACTACTTGGATCGGACAGGCTCGGACCCATCGAGATCAGAGCACAGTACTGATTCAGAGGCACGTGTTGCCAGGCCATGGGGGCTCCCGGTGCATGCGGCCTGAGACAGTCTTATTTCATTTTTTTGTCGCAGCAGGAGGAAACCACGAGCGAAGCCGCGAATCACGATGACGTGCGACAGCCGCGCCTCAGCCACAATGCCATCCTCGAGGATACACAGCAAGGTGCAGGACGCACCACGCCTTTTGATCGGTCTTTGGGCTTAGCCTTTCTTCTTTTCACTGGCATGCTACACATTGCTGAAGAGCGTATCTTGCAGAGACATCCATCCCGGGCCATTGAGGTCGTGCGACGCAATCAAAGCTTGCTCCACTCCTCCCAAACCAATCAGCACAGTCCCAAAAGCTCGCGTCGCCATCGACGTCTTCGCAAGTGCGTGTCTTCTGAGTTTTCTTTCGTTCACGCTCTTACTTGCACGTCTCAAGTGCTGGTTCCGGATGCCGGTGTAGGGTGCTGCGCTTGTTTACGCCAGGAAAAGGCCTGCCCACAGAGGATCTAGATAGCAAATCAAACACGCATCTCGATACCCCCGAGGCATCGGCAGCCATCGCCAAACCACCTTCTGTCGAAAATCTCGGTGCGGCTGCGACGTCAACGGCCAAGGAGGGTTCTGTCAGCCCCAGCATATCCAATTCTCAAGGCAAGGTTTTTGATGCCGTGTCTTGCTGCCTTGCACCTTTTGTTGAGTTGACTTGTCGCCGTTGACACCTTTATCAGGCCTCGGCACATTCGGCCGTCGGGATTTGGTCGAGTTGGCGTCGGCACAGGGTTCCAAGTTGAGTATACGCTCTTCTGACAGCTGGATGTCAGACGAGGTCGACCTAGCCCGGCGTGAGTTTTGCTTCAATTGCCTCGGTCCTACCAGCCAAAGCAGCTCGTGCCGTGCAAATGATGTGCTGAACATGACGCCTGGTTTGCGCTTTTGATTTCAGGTCCTCGCTTTGTGATTCGTGAGCGCCGGCCTTCTCAACTGCGCATGGCCAATATCAGTGATCCTTTTGCACTGTCCAACACAGCCATCTCTGAACAGCGCGCGCAAGCAAACACCAGTCCGGCGGCGCTTCCCGATGATAATCACAGTCGCCCTCAATCGGGTTTACAATATCGCAGCACGTCTTCTGCACAATCGGCCGTGTTTTCTCCACTGAGCCCATTGTCAGCCACGGCCGAGTCGAGATCAGGCAGTCGAAGTGCCCCTTTACCTGAGGAAGCCTTTGCCACACCGTCGTCAGACTGTGATGCAGCATCTGTTGCCGGGACCAACTTGACCTCGCGTGCGAATGCAAGCAGTGCCCCACCTCTGCCCAGATCTGCCACGGGTGTAGCTCCACTCGAGAAGCAATCGTCATTTGAGTGGTTGCACAAGTTCTCCACAAATCTGCTCGACTCACTTTCGCCCCTTGCCTTGTGGGGCACCCAACGCGAGACGCAGCCCGATCAGACGGTCGCGGACGCAAGCAATGTTGTCACCCAGAGCGAGTTACATCAGGCCACAACAGCCTTGCCACGCACTGGCATGCCAGACCCACCTGAAGAGCACATGGCAGAGCAAGTTTACACCGCTCCAGCGCCAAAACAAGGCTTGCGACAGGTGCTGACACTAGAGACGCAGCAGGAAGTGGCACTAGAGACGCGGCAGGAGGTGACACAAGCACCAGAGCCACAATGGCAACAGAAACCTGCAAAAGAGGCAACACACGCATCAGAGATGGAATCGCAGTTCAGCACGGACCGTGATCCTGACTTTGAGGTTACCGGCGCACAGGACAGCAACCATGCGCCAAGCGCAGATCAGCAGGCAATGCCTGTGACAGATCCCTTTCTACCCGTCGCCACTCTCAAACCGTCTGCACGATGCGCACCTCTGACAGCTTCCACACTGACCTCACAGCACGTCCCAACAATTTCGCCTGGTTCCAACAAGAGCGCCGTTCGAACCTCGAGCAACAGCTCATCAGAGTCGAGCTTCAAACAGCCAACAACACGTCTTGTGCCTCACCACTCGACTACGCCAACCCACACTTACACGCGCAATCTCAGCAACACCAGCGCCACCAATCCCAGCTCGTCATCAGCCCCTGGCTTTGAAACCATGGCTACTGCCGAACCGTTTGCTCGGCCCAATGCTCGTATACTTACTCAGCCAATGCCACTCGCAGGGGGTGAGGCGTTACGACGCGGCTCCGACTGGGACATGAAATCACAGACAGAAGCGAATCATGCCGAGCCCCGGCCTCGACGTGCCTCACACATCGTGCCACTTTGGCATACGGAACGTAGTGCCAGCCACAACAGTGATCTCGGGGGTTATCTTGATCTTCCCGGCACTGCAACGGCAGCGGATCGAGGCGATCAGGCTCTCGTGGCTTGTCGGCTCAGGATAGAGGACCACATCTCTGCCCGCTTCACAGGAACGCGTCTTAGCCATGCCACAAGTGATCACCGGATGGTAGTGAGTCTGCCGGCTGCCCACGAATGGCAGCAGGTGTTGGAGCGATGCCACCCGCAGGAAGAAGTGGTGTTGCTCATCCGCTGTCCCACCGTGACTCGCTCGCTTGGTCTGCGGTTCGTTGCCTACTTGCTGTTCAGCATCTTGATGTAGACTGTGCGCGGTTTGAGATGAACGATCGGCGGCTGTTCCGTACATTTGCTCTCATACGATCGTTTATTGCCAATCTGCTTGTGCCTTTTGGGTCAAACATAAACAGGGCCTCTGGTGTGTGGGAACAGCGGGGCGAACGGCTCAAAACCACGGCCGGTGCACTCGTGCAAAGCCTTGCTGGACGACCTGATGTTGAAGTCTGTCACTTTCGTGTAACTTGCGACGGTATGTGGACCTCTCACATGATGTACCTTGCTTGCGATGAGCCTGCTTCAGATGTGGTGCCCCAAAGTTGCCCTCACTAGCGGTCTTGATACAAATCCATGCAGGGGGCGATTCGCTTCCGGTCACCGTCAAGTCGACTTGGCGCTGTGATTTTGGGTGCTCAACGGTACGCACGACCTGTGGCTGTTGTTTTGCGGACAATGGGGCGCAAGCCTGTGCTGCATATAAGAACCTCACCCGCCTGGCCTTCATGCTTTTTGCAACAGCTCAAAGGGGAGTGGAGACAGGCCGCGGGAGTAGAGCTGCAGCAGTGTCGGCTCGAGGTGGATCTTCCTGCCCACGCGCGCTGTAGTGGGGACGGTGCGTGCGGCTTCTTTGGGTTACAATTGCCGCATTACTGAAGGGTGCTTTCTCACCTGGCTTTTGGGACTGCTTGGTTGTTGAGCGCAGGCGAGCGTGAAGGGAATCGGTATAGCTGGCCGCTCAAGGCGCGGCGTGGAGCGTTTTCTTTGACTCTACGAACTGATTCAGCCATTAAGATCAAGCCACTCCCGGTGAACGTGCAGTTTACAGGTTTCAACCTTGTGTTGCCCGTGGAGGTGACACTGGAACGAGGTGATAAGCACCTCGGTTTGCAGTTGGCACCAGAGTACTTTGTAGCGAGCCATGAAGTGCAATGCGTGTGCAGCAGCTAATCAAGCTGACAGTCAACCGACTGAAAAGCCAGCAAGTTCTCAAAAATCGATTATCAAACGAGGTGCCTCACCCCGATGTTCGGTACTGGTACTGGGAGCAAATCTCTTATAAAAATAGGTCTTGGCTCAAGGGTCAAAATCCCACAAACGGTTCGACCCGGGATAAAATGGAACATTTGTGTCCGACAGCGACGACGAATCGAACACGATACCAATCCTAACTGTTAAAGCACTAGAAACAACTAAAGACGGACATGGCGTTGGATAAGCCCTTACAACAACACAGGGACGGAACAAGGGGCCAGCTGGCACAAGAAACCAATGGCTGTTCTTGAGCAAGGCAAAAATCGCCCCCACAGTTGCAGAGGTGAGAGCTCATCACTACCCCAGAAAGAAAGGAAAAACAAACGCGCGTACACACACACGCACACACGCAAACACACGCACACACACACACACAGAAGGAAAAAAAAAAAAAGAAGAAGAAGAGGGAGAAGGAGCGCGTCACAGTCAATGCCCGCCTGCGTTCAGGACGGTGCTCGTGCAACAAATAGACTTGTCAGCGCACGCAATCAGGACATGGCAGGCATGCCTTGTTGATAGGATGAATGTACAGCCATGCCTTGGGACGCGTGTGAGGTGGCACGCAGCGTGGCTCCATCATGGCAAGCAAGCGGGCCGGCTGCTGTCTCGGGCGGGCGTGCCTCTTGCATCGGGCGTTGATTGCGAATAACAGCCGTGCTTTTGGAAGTGGGGACGTGACCCGAGGCGCCTCCGACTGAAGATGACGTCGCGGCATCACCGGCGACGTTGAGGTGTGCCGGGTGGCCGAAGCGCTCATGTTGGTACCACATGGCTTTGAAGGCACGCTCCAAATTACGTGTCAGAAGTCGGGTGTTAAAAAGCGGCGAGCGTTTGCGCGCGATGCGCACTTTGCGCTTGAGATTGCGCAGGGCCTGGGGGTTGCTTGCGTACTGCACCGCCTGTCAATTTAAGCACACACAGGACCAAGTGAGGCGAGAGGATGAGAGGCTGTAGCAGATCAAGAAGGGAGTGGATCAGGGCCATGTCTAAACGCACCAGGTTGACGTAATCCTCGTGAGAGCGAGCAATGAGCTCAGGGCAGCCGAGGGTTTTGAGCAGCGACGAAGCCACACGCGACGCTAGCGTATCACCAGGGAGAGAAATCATGGGCGTGCCTGGCGAATCACATGGCACAGACACAGACGAAAACAATGCGGTGAGCAATGTGGAAACCGTTGGGCAAGTGGTCGACATTGGACTGCTCGTATCGGCCACATACCAGCCCACAAGATATCCATGCCCGTCGTGTGGCCGTTGCAAACGTGAGTGTCAAGGCAAATGTCAGCCAAAGCACCACGTCGGACGTGTTCGATCTTCCCGGCCACCGGAGAGAAGATGACGCGATCCAGCGTCAGGCCAGCCTCGATGATTCGCTACAAGCGACAAGGGAAGGGTGAGGAAACGAGGGAGAGAAGAGGTGCCTCGGTGAAGCGTGGGTGGGCGCAACGAGAGGGCACACACAAGAGAGTCATGGTACATGGTACGCACCTTTTGCAGGTTCTGTTCTCCAGCCGGCGGGAAGCGAAGGATCCAGAGCACGCTGTTGGGAACGCGCTTGAGAATGTTGAGCCATGTGTCAAACATGAGTGGGTCAATCTTGTACAACTGATTGAAATTGCAAAAGATGACCTTGTCCTCGGGAAGGCCATAGAAGCGGCGGTGGAGCATGGGCTGGGTAGCCTCTTGGCCAGGTGGGGGTAGAGGCGCGTGTGGAGGCGCGTATGGAGCACAATAACCATTGGTAGCCACTGGTAGCGGGTGCGAGGGTTGCATGTACATCATGTAGGGGTTGGGCTGCTTTTGACCCGGCTGAAAAGCCATCATATGCGGGGCAGACAGTTGCTGATGAGGGTTACCAGGCATGACGCCTGGCATGGGAGCATGGACGGCCATGGGGCCTGCACCACCCATTGGAGCGCCGCCTTGGGCAGCTGCTCCCATGGCGTGAAGCATGCTCAGCGAGCGGTTGGGTGGCTGAGAAAGAAAGTGGGCTAAAGGGCTGCTGAGCAAGGAGCCAGGGGATGCACTGGCCGGCATAAGAGGTTGCGTGGGAACCATGCCAAACTGAGGCGAGAAGGGGATCGCTGGGATCATGGCCGTAGGGAATCCGTGTGCGTTGGGAATCAAGTAATTGGTCTGCACGTAGGGGATTGGAAGGGCTGAGTTGACCATGGCCATGGGGCCCAGGCGCGGATCCATGTGTGAAAGATTGGGCTGGAGAAGAACTTGGTTGATGCTGGCGGCCAGCATCGAGGCATGGTCGGGTTCACTCTTAATGGATGCGCCGTTGGCCATGGCATTGGCAGCAGCAGTGGCGTTGGTGGCAGCTGCAGCCGTGAGCGCGCTCACAAACATCTGCTGTTGGTGCTGTAATTGTTGCTGCTGCTGGGCAGAGGGCGCCGCCGCCATTGGGTTGAGTGAGAGGTGCGCCGACTGTTGCGGCTGCTGCTGCAGTTGTTGTTGTTGCTGCTGTGACTGCATGACCTGGAGCGACGTGTGGGTCTGCGGAGGAGGCATGGACGTGGCTCCCGTGGGGTTGTGATAGCCAGTTGGGCGCGCCGAAGCTGCAAGCTTGCGGGTACGGGGCGCATCCAGCTCAGCAGTTGAAGGGTGGGACGAGTGTACGACAGCACGTGACGTAGTTTCGCTGCGGGCCACCTTGGCTGCCGTCCCCTGGGCCTGACCCTCGTCATCTCCCTCAACATAGTTGTAGCGCGGGGGTAGGGGAAACATGTTCATATGGTCACCGACAAAGAAGCAGGGCATGTAGACAAAGTGCTCAGAGTAGGCGTCGCGCCAATGTTCAGGAGGTGAGGTTTGCTCATCGGTGATAATGTAGTCCATAAAGTCAGCGCCCGAAGAGCCCGGATAGCCAAGCCACATGGCCTGGATGGGAGCAGGCCGCAACGCGAATATTTCTGTCCGGGCCCCCTTGGTGTAGCCGTTGAGGTTGATAAGGATGTGAATACCATCATGGTAAATGCGGTCAGCCGCGATGGCGTGGTCGGGTATGCCGGAGAGGTCGACAAAGTGTTCGACCTCGGCTTCAATCTTGCGGCGGTAAATGCTACCGTCATCCGGGGCAAGGGAGTAGCAAAAGATTTCAAATTGCTCACGATTGTGATAACCAGGGATGCTTTGCATGAGATGGGAGGTGGGGTGATCCTTGAAATCGGAAGAGACATAACCCACACGGAGGCGCCCGGACAAGGGCAAGAGGCGTGAGTGATCGTAGGCGGGCTTGTTGTATTGGACAATGTTGCGCTGAGCGGCATGGGCGTGAGCAGCGGCAATGGCCTTGCGAAGGGTATTGGGCAAGGGGTAAAGGAAGGTGTGGTGGGGGTGGACCGAGGGGAATTGGTTGTTGTCAATCTGATATTGAACGAGGGCCACGAGTTGCTGCATGCGCTCCTGGTAGTTGGTCCAGTCGCAGACCATTTGAAGTGAGTGGGCCAGGTTGCAAAAGACATTGGGGTTGTCGGATTTGAGTTCGAGGGATGATTGGTAGTACTTGATGGCTTCATCAATGACGCCCAGATCCTTGCAGACGCAAGCAAGATTGTTAAAGTCGTCGGCGCTGGCTTTGAGGCGAACAGCCTGCTGGAAAGCGACGCGAGCCGAGTTGAGGTCACCCAGGTCCCGCATCACATGGCCCAGGTTACTGTAGCATTCCTGGAAAGACGGGTTGAGCTTGATCGCCTCTTGGTAGTGACGAGCCGCTTCGGGGAGTTGCTGGGAGCGGTGAAACAGGGCAGCCAGGCCGGCATGGACATGTGCGCTTGGAGAAAGACCCAACGAGCGCTTGTAAACGTGTTGTGCTGCGAGCAGCTGGCCTTCGTCACGAAGGACGTTGGCTACATTGCCCAAGGCGGCGGCAGTCGATTCGGCACCCAAGATGCTGAGGAGATTGCTGTAGACGCATTCGAGCTGAGAGTCCAAATAAACGGCCTTTGTAAAGCGCTGGAGGGCATGCTGGGGTTGTTGCTCGTCCAGCTCGATGCAACCAAGGTTATTCCACGCGACGGCAAAGGTGGGCTGATAGTAGAGCACCTGTTCATAGCATTGGCGGGCCTCGGCATTTTTGCCTGTTGCCTTGAGCAGGTTACCGAGATCGTTGCGCACGGAGTAAAGGGAAGGGTTTATGGCCAAAGCGCATCGATAGGCATGTTCAGCCTTTGTCATGTGATGTGTCTGGACATATTGAGCGGCCATCTCCGTGTACCCTTGGGCGAAATGGGCGTTGGCGGGATCAGTCTTTTGAGAAGCACGCTGATTCAGCTCAAGAGCGCTGTGCATTGAGAGGGACATGGTGAGCCAGCCATCAACCAAATCGATACATTGGGCACAGAGAGCGGGGGCCTGTCGGTGGATAAAGATCCAAGGAAAAGAACTCAACCAGGAGCTCGCACACACCGATCATAGTTTTCGCAGGCAAAGTGAATGGCTGCCATGAGGAGAAGGCCTTCCTGGTGATCGCCTCGTGACTAGGTTCACACGACGAGAGATTCACGATTTTGGTCAGAAGAAAACCCCAAACGAACAAGGCTCACAATGACGGCATGCACTTTATAAAGGTGGCCCAGGAGGCAGTACCTGTTGCAGTTCCTCACACCGACGGAGGGCTTCATCACTCTTGCCCTCGTTGTACAAGAGTTGTGCCTCTTGGCAATGCTTGCACAAGCTGAAAGACTGAGAGGTACTCTAAAGAGGCGTGCATGACGGTATTGGTATTGGTATGTCAAGACGAAGCACGGGCGACGAAAACACAAACTGAGAGCAGAGTCAGGGAGACCGGTGGTAAAGCTGTTGGCGATAAGGGGATGTTTGCATGGGTTCGTAAGCCGATGCGTGCGTGGAGGCCACGAACGAGGCAGCCGGGGTGTGCAACATGACGTTGTTGGCTGAGGGCGCCATGTCCAAGGGCCCTTGGCGTGGTTGCTGAGCATCAAAAGGACGGGCGCGGGGGGTGGGCGCGGGGGGTGGGCGCGGGAGAAAACGTGTGTGAAGGCATCGACACGGGGGAAAAGAAGCAGAGGAGGGGCAGGCAAGGATATCAAACACTTGCAATAAAACAAAACAAAAAAGAAACGGGGCGGGGAAGGGGGCTGAGCGCGCCGGAGGCGACAGGGTAACGGGACTGGCTGTAAACTGGGAATTTACCTGGGACATGAGACCGGCCAACCAGGCAGGGCACAAGGAGGTGGCCACGCGGCCACGAGCGTGATGGAACGACGCTCAGCTCAAGCGCATTGAAGCCAGCAACTTGACGGCCGTGTGTTTTTGGGTATCGCCGAGGCAGCCAAGCGACTGAGGTGGGAGCAAAAATGGCCCACACAGCATGGGCAGCCAGGGCTGGATCGGTCGAGGCCAAGCTCGTGGCGTTGGAGAGACACTGTCGAAATCACCAGCCAAACTGGTACTGCATGGGCGGGGCACAGCACACAGCCCCTCGGTAAGCAAGGGCAGCAACGATGAATGGCACCCGATAGGCACACGACGGAGCTGACACCAGCCAGAGGTGTGTGCATTCGTCCGTTCGTTCGTCCGTGTGGGGTTGAGCTGAGCCGAAACACGGGCCAGATGGGGCAGCTCCAGCCTCAGACGGCGCGCGAGGCCCAGCCCAAAGCCGTTCCACCCTCGAAAGCCTGTGCCAAAGCGTACCTCACTGCGCCAAGGTCCGTAGCTGCACTCGCCAGCAAAAGGCAGCGCACGCGTCAATCCAGCTCTAGACTATGGCAACGAATATACATGTAAATGCAGCCCTGGATGCATGTGTGCCCGTGTCTGCGTCTCTGTGCACAACTTCTGCGCGCGCGCTCTCTCTCCACTCTCTCGCTTTCTTCTCTCTCTCTCTGCTCGTGTGTGTGTGTGTGTGGTCTTTTGTTCTCTCTTTCTTTCATCTCTTTCTCTCTCTCTTTCTCTCTCTCTTTCTCTCCCTCTGTCTGCCTCTCTCCTCTCTTCTCTCTCTCCTCTTTCCTCTCTACTCTCACTCTCTGTCTCTATCTTTCTGCCTCTCCCTCTCCGTCTTCTCCGTCTCCCTTCCTCTCTCGTCCTGCGTGCGGTTCTTGGTTTGCAGTCTCGTTGTTTTGAATCAGTCGTTCTTCGGGCAGGTCACAAGCCAGTATCACGAAAAACCCCCCACCCCCGAACCAGACCACGGGCGCCCCGACGCTGCACACCATTCTTTCTTAGGGCACTCCTGGACGTTCTTCTTCGTCTTTTGTATTGTTGTGTTTCTTCGCTTTCCTTCTGTTGCCTTCTTCAACACACACACACACACACACACACACACATACACACACTCTGTCTCTCTCTCTGTCTCACTCTCTCTCTCTCTCTCTCTGTCTCTGTCTCTGTCTCTGTCTCTGTCTCTCTCTCTCTCTCTCTCTCTCTCTCTCTCTCTCTCTCTCTCTCTCTCTCTCTCTCTCTCTCTCTCTCTCTCTCTCTCTCTCTCCTTTTTGAGGTTTCTGTCGGGCTCCAACCCTTTGCGGCGCCCGAGCACAGTACACACGCCACCACTACGGGAGGGAACCTCGCCGCTCCCAACCGCACACCCTGTTCCAACAAAACCAATGGAAAAAAAAACAGCTGCCACCATCTCGTGAAAACACTTTTTTGAAAAACGCCCGGTGTCGCAGCACGCGCCTCACCTCGCCCCTCGCCCCTCGCCCCTCGCCCCTTGCCATGCCGTGCCGTGCCGTGCCCGTAGCTCGCCCATATCAGTCTGAGATGCGCCGGCTCGTGACTTGCGTGATGGTGCCCGTTCAGCGTGCAAGACGATTTCATGGGTACTTTGTGGGATGAGACTGGGGTTGGTATGGGTTTGTGGGTCCATCGCAGCAATTGGATGTTTACTCCTGGGAAATTATGCCCAAAGCTTGCTTAGGGCCTGAGCTGATCTCTTGCTATGGAAGACGCCGTGAATTAGGCGACCTTGACCGTCACTGCTTATGATCCTTGCGATCTTGGTGCGCTGATAAGCAATTTTTGTTCAACCCTCCCCAAAAAGAAAAGGTGCACCACGTCGCTCTTGGCTGCCACTGCCCCCCACACCCCAGCTTCAACGTCTCGTACCCTGTAACGATGCATTCCTCGGAAACCTCAAGCTGCAACTTTGCACCTTAATTCAAAAAGTGGGGGCATGCCTTTGACTCTTGACCGTTCGGCTCTGACATTGGCTTCCATAAGACGGCTCGGAAATTCCAAACGTGCACGTGTGGGGTAAAGCAGGTCGAGCAGTGACAGACTGGCGCCCTTTTGGTTTGGCGATGGCTGAAATGTCATGTTCCGAAGCCATGGCTTGCTTTTCGCCTTTTTGACGTTTCATGTTTCATCTGCTTGTCATCTTGTGGTGCGCCACTTTGAAACGAAACAAAAGAGCCATCACGCATTAGTAACAACTGGTTGTCATGGCCATGATCAAGCACGCTTCTTCTTCGTTGATGGTTGTCAGATGTCAGATGATCAAGTGGTTAAGATTCAAGGGGGATTGATAATTCTCGGATTTGTCTGAATCTTTCCATTCTCTCTCTGCTCAGCAGGAGGCGCAAAAACACCATCATGACTCGGCGGTGCTCGACCGCCTAACCCCCAGGCTTTTTTCGCCCCGGCCCCTCTTCCAACTACCGCGGTCTGATACTGTCTGTCTCGTTATGACATGCCCGGCATTGTCCCCAAGTTCCGGTTCAAGCGAGCATGACAAAGAGGGGTCAGCCAGGTAGGATGGGAAGCAACACATTTCCAAACTCGCTGGGGACGCACTCCATATACGTGAGTTGGCTTTGGGCCAACTACCTCCAACGACCAGGACGACAGAGCGAGTGAACACTGGTGCATACCAACGCGCAAAACCAGGGGAACATGGTCGGTGATGAACGTGTCAGACGTACGCACCTCTCGAGCCGCAGCCAAGGTTTGCTGCTGGGTGGGATCCAGGACATCCCAGGACGCACCCCATGCCGCCTCTGTGTTAGCATCCGTCTCTGTCTTGAGATCAGTCCCAGCAGAGGTGGCCGAGGTGGCAGGGACAGCTGGCGTCGCCTCGGGCGACATTGCTGGCATGCCGCCGGGTCGTCCTGGTTTGCGCAAAATCCCGACCGGGGCTGCTGTTGTGGTGGTCGGTGTCGCCGGTGATGCCTTGGGACCATCAAGATTGGCATACTGCGGTCGTGCAGGCCCAGTAGATGGTGCGCCTGCAGCATCAACTCCTCCTGTGTGGGCGGCATGCCTGGGCTCGAGCTGATGATACCCTGCGCTTTGGACCTGTTTGGCCCCCACACTGGGCTGGGGCGGGTCAAAGTGGCCACGGCGCTGATAGACATTAGCAGTGTCTCCTTGCGCCGGCCAAGCAGTCGAAGCAGGTGGCTCGAAATGCGGTCCGCTTATACCCCTGCCGTACGTTGTGGCATTCAAATGACATTGATCGAGGAAAGACAGCACAATTCCCACGTTACTCAAAACATTCAAGAACAGACAAACGAACAACCGGATGGAGGCATACCCCGTGGACGGCGGCTCGTATCGATGCCGTGCTACAGTTCTGGAATTTGCATAGTCAGAGGGCCAAGCGTTGCTGTCAGGACGTCGCTCCCAATCATGACCAGACCCAGACCCGTAGTTGTGACCCCGACCACGAACACGACCACGACCACGACCACGCCCCCGACGGCCCTGGCGCGCAGGTGCTGCTGGTCCAGGCGGGCGAAACGCCATGATGAGCTCACACACACACACTCACACAAGAAAAAAAAAAGTGCTCACTCGCCTCCCTCTCTCGCAATCGACTATTTTTAGCTGAAACACATCCCTAAAGTGTGACGGATAAAGCACTTTAGTCATCTGTACAAAGGCCCGACTTTTTGGGTATTTTTCTCTCACTTTTGGAAACGGCAGTCAGCCAGTGGACCGGCGTCTGCGTGCTCAAGAGTGCTCAAGGGTCGGGGCTCTGTACCGTCACGAAGGGGGGTGTTTATTTGTAGCTGCAGCGAGCGATACGGCTCGATCAAACTGGCGCTTCCTTCCACCTCATCGTCGACATGGCTTCATCCGACGTATGTATCATCACCAACCGCCCCCTCCTCGTTTTTTGGGTTCCTGAAGCAGACGCAGCTTGCTCCGGGTCGGGCCGTTTGACTGACCATCATCCGCCGGATCCGTCGCTTTAGATTTTGTATGGCTTTGACAATCACCCCCGCACCGAAGTGGTGTTGGTGGCGGCCAAGTTTGCCCAAAAGGAGGTGGAACTACGCAGCAAGGTCCGCTACAAGCGCCTTCAGCTCGCCTTTCCCGCCAATCTCCCGCCATATCTCTTGCTTGTCACAATCAAGTGACCGGTCTTGATACTGTGTTGCCCCGGTGTCTTCTCACCTTTCCTGCCTCGTGGGCTGGTGGGCGTCTTGTCTCGTCACCGGTTTTCCGCCTGTCCGCGTGCTTGCAACTGCTTGCCACTGCGTACCACCCGTAGCACCCGGAATTCGACTTTCCCGCCGCCCTGCATACCCCAGAGTTTCAACAACGGTTCCCGCTGCAAACGGTAATACTCAATCCCTGACATCTCACCCCCAAGGCCCAAGGGTCCCTTCTTGCGCAGTCGTAGCACATCCCCTCTTTGATCCCCAACGCCCAATTTGTCGTCTGCTTTGTGCTCGCACACACCAGGTGCCAGCGCTGGTGACTGAACATGGCGAGCCGATCTTTGGAGAGTTGGCCATTGCCACCTACTGTGAGCTTGCACCGTTTTCTCTCGGCACCCTATCTCTAAAGTGGCTGAATCTTGAACTTCGCTTCCGGCTCTCACTTAACCAAATGGTGGACGTCGGTTCTACTCAGATGCTGCTCTCAACAACAAGTGCCTGTTGCCCGAGCGGGCGTATGACCAAGGCCTTGTCCAGCAAGTCAGTGCCCGCAAGGACATTGTTGCGTGCCGTGTAAAAAAAAAAAAAAAAAAAAAAAACACCGGTATCCCATGTTGAGGACTCATGCGAATGTCGCTGCTTTAGTTTTTGACACTCACACAACTCGAGCTCTTTCCAGCGCTCTCGGCCTGGATGTTTCCAATTCAGGGCTACCTGCCTTATGATGCAGAGGTCTGTAATGTCTTTCTCTGATTCGATCATATGCAACACTCAGTCCCTCGTCTTTCTCCAAGTCAGCGGCTAGCCTCTGTTACCTCCTGATGTCCCTGCGTGGCCCTTTGTCCTAGGACGTGGCCCGCAGCCGCGGCGAGGCCGACCGGATACTCAAGTATCTCAATGATCTTTTGAGCGAGCGGTTGGTTATGTCTTTTTCTTTCATTTTTATTTTATTTTTTTTCTTCAGATCACCCGGCTCGCTACACCCACCTTGACACACGACCTCACTTTTGGCTGCCGCCCTCCCCTTTTCCTTCCGCGCAGGACCTTCCTCTGTGCCAACCGCATGACCTTGGCCGACGTTGTCATCGGCTGTCACCTTCGTCCTCTCTTCCAACAGGTTGCCTGAACCTCCCTCGATCGGTCTTTAGATCGCGCCGCCGCTTTCGCACGCCTCATGCTCCATTCATGTCACACATTTGCTAGTTTTTGGATGCATCGGCCCGTGCATCGCTGGCGCACTTGACTGCCTGGTTTGAGCGTCTGATCGCCCGCCCTGAGTTCCAGGACGTCGTCGGCGCGGTCACTTTTTGCGAAACTCCACTCGCCTATGACGATAACCGCGCGAGCGAGCTGCAGGTGTGTAGCACGCTCTTCATCGACCCTACAAATCTCGGCTTCGTTCGTGCACGCGTACACGTACGCGCATGTATGCATGTTCCCTCACCCCGTCCGCGCATGTATGTGTGCTCCCTCCCTCCCTCCCTCCCTCTCTCTCTCTCTCTCTCTCTCTCTCTCTCTCTCTCTCTCTCTCTCTCTCTCTCTCTATCTCTCTCTCCCTCTCGCCGTCTCCACTACCCAGGCTCGTGTTGACGAGATTTCGCAGCAAGCGTAGCCG